TCTTGGCGAAGGATTTGGAACCTTCTCCGTCCGTACGCGAACTGTCCGCGTCTTCTTCTTTCTCACGAGTGGCCAGCTAGGTCTGACTTGTGGAATGAAACGGTCTTTAGGTCTGTAAGTCAACGTCTTGGTCTTGCGAAGGGATGTGTCGTCGATCGCTGTTGCTTCGAAAAGGGTTCTGAAAGAGCCTGGAAGAGATGGTGGTTTTGTAGTAACTCTTCGAATTTCATCAACAGTATGGCTAGGAACCGCTGTGATGAGAGCCACCAACACATCCACCTTCAGCTCCCGGCGTCAGGTGTGTACCCTGAGCTGTTAGGAGAAGAAATGCTGAAGGGTGCGAGACGAGCTATGGAAGAAGACAGGACTTGAGGACGCAACTGTTGCAGGCATGAGGGGGTGTGAAAGTTTTTAACTTCCTTGTGAGTGCCTTTACAGTTGACAGGATGTCTTGCACATGTGACATGAACCACGAGTTTGCATTGCGTGAGTTGAGAACTGTGCTTGAACCGTTTGTTTTGTGTTAGCAGAAACAGGCATGGACATAGCATGTTTGGAGCTTGGCTTGAAAGTGTTTCTTGCTTTGAGCTTAACGTGAGACGCTTGGAGTGTGCATGATGAGCAGAGAAGCACTCGAGATGCTTTCGGAGCATCCTTGAAGAAGTGCGTGTTGCTCTGAGTTTGCTCTTCAAACCTTGGCCGCCGACCCTCGCTTCGCTCGTGTCGTCGTACTGAGGTTCGAGCAGAGTGGCTGTGCACTTGTATGCTTGTTTTGCTGAAGCACGGAAGTCCTGAGAAGCATTAGGACGTTTGCATGTGTTCCTCCTTTGTTTAACAAAGTTGAGATGGAATTCACGAAAGTGAAGCTGCGCTGACTCTGCGAGAGACTTGCCGAACACCTCTGGTGTTTTGGCTCAAGCGTGGAGTGAAAAAGAGCTCTGCGTTTTTCACAATTGTACAATTCAGAGAACAAAAAACCAACAATTTTAAATTAAAGAATTCTGACTTTTGGCTTTGAGAAATTGAGAATTTTTTCAGTTGGATTTTTGGGGTAAGATTTGGATGATTCTCTGTCTTCCACAGTGGATCTTGCAACAATAATAAGATTTTTGTAGTTAGATGGGGTCAGAGTTTTTGGAGTCTTGGAGTCAGAGTTTTTGGGTTAAATTTTTGAAGTCAGAGTTTTAAAGTTAGAGTTTTGAGAGTTTTGAGTTAGAGTTTTTTTGGTTTTTTTGGGTTTGGAGTTGTAGTTAGGTTTTGGGGTCAGAGTTTCGGAGTTGGAGTTTTAAGCTCTAACCCAAAACTCTGTCTCCAAACTCAAACTCCACTGAAAAACGAGCTGCTCTAACTTCAAAACTCTGACTCTCAGAATTAGAGTTTTCGAAGTTAGAGTTTCAAGTTAGAGTTTTGGGGTTAGAGTTTTTGGTTAGAGTTCGAGTTTTGGGGCAGAGTTTTGGGTTAGTTTTTGGGGCTTGAGTTTTGGAGCAGAGTTTTGGGTCAGAGTTTTGGGGTTAGAGTTTTAGGGTCAAAGTTTTCGGGTGGGAGTGTTTTGGGGCAGAGTTTTGGGTCAGAGTTTTGGGTTAGAGTTTTGGAAGTTAGAGTTTTGGGTCAGAGTTTCGGGGTCAGTTTTGGGTTAGAGAGTTTTGGGTCAGAGTTTTGGAGTCAGTTTTAAAAAACAAAATTGGAGTCGGCTTCAATTTCAGTAAAGTTTGGATGGAGTTCGGAGTTAGATTTGGGATTTTGGAGTGGATTTGGGGTCAGAGTTTGGGGTTTGAAGCTCAGATTTAAAGTTTCAGGATCAGAGTTGCAGAGTTGGAGTCTTTGAAACCAGAGTTTGGAGTCAGAGCTGCGGTGACGCCAAATTGAGATAACCGTGCCAGAGTGCCAATGAGTTTTCGCAGAGAAACAATGGGTTTTGGGAGGGTTGAGAAAATTCGCACAGAGAAGCAGGGGGGTTTTGGAAGACCAGAAATCGTGTCACTCACACAGCAAAGCGGATTTGAACTGTGCTTCTACGAGAATTTTCGCACAGAAAAGCAGCGGTTTTTGGGGGGATTGTGCTTCTATGAGAAGTTTCGCACAGAAACGGGATGGATTTTTTGGGGAATTGTGCTTTTATGAGAATTTTCGCACAGAGAAGCATCGGAGTTGGGGAGACGTGCTTCTATGAGATTTTTCGCACAAACGGGGGTTTTGGGGGACTCTATGGGAAGTTTCGCACAGACAAGCAGGTTTTGGGGGACTGTGCTTTTCTGAGAATTTTAGCACAGAGAAGCAGCGGGGTTTCGGGGGACTGTGCTCCATGAGAAGTTTCGCAGAGAAGCAAGCGGGATTTTGGGGGGACTGTGCTTCTATGAGGTGTTTCGCACAGAAAAGCAGCGGGGTTTTGGGGGGACTGTGTTTCTATGAGAAGTTTTCGCGCAGAGAAGCAAGCGGGATTTTGGGGGAACTGTGCTTCTATGAGATTTTTCGCGCAGAGAAGCAGCGGGATTTTGGGGTGACTGTGCTTCCATGAGAAGTTTCGCACAGAGAAGCAGGCGGGGTTTTGGGGGAACTGTGCTTCTATGAGAAGTTTTCGCGCAGAGAAGCAAGCGGGATTTTGGGGGAACTGTGCTTCTATGAGATTTTTCGCGCAGAGATGCAGCGGGATTTTGGGGTGACTGTGCTTCCATGAGAAGTTTCGCACAGAGAAGCAGGCGGGGTTTTGGGGGAACTGTGCTTCTATGAGAAGTTTTCGCACAGAGAAGCCAGCGGGATTATGGGGGAACTGTGCTTCTATGAGAATTTTCGCACAGAGATGCAGCGGGATTTTGGGGTGACTGTGCTTCCATGAGAAGTTTCGCGCAGAAAAGCAGGCGGGGTTTTGGGGTGACTGTGCTTCTATGAAAATTTTCGCACAGAGAAGCAGCGGGGTTTTGGGGGGACTGAGCTTCTATTGCATTTGCGTTTGTGTTTGGCTTTTGGTGAGTTTTTTGGCTTGCATTTGGCTTGTATTTGCGGGATTTTCTTGCTCTTGGACTTGAGATAGACGGAAAGCAGTGAGTCAATCCGGCATGCCTCCAAAACAAGAGCAAGTGTGGTACTTCGATTCGTTGCTGCCAGTACAACCACGCGAAGGATTGTTGGAATGCTGTAAGAGGTGGAGCGAAAAGGAAAAGGAAGCCAAACTTCGCTTCGTATCTTCTCAATTGAAGAAGAAGACGACGCAGATTGGTTACTGTCACAGGCACGAAGCATGCTCCATGAAGTTCCGGTTTTCCTTGGTGAGCAACAAGGAAGAAGGCAGTTTGGCAACAAAAAAAACTTTGTTGTTGTTTGGGAAGTCGGTCTCAAAATTCTTGGGAAGCGATGTCGGAGAGTGCTAAGGTTCCGCACTTCCACCAGACTTGCTTGATTTGGATGAGGAAGTCTTTTACTTGCGTGTTGAAAGATCCGTTCGGGAGGGTCGCAAGCACGACGGGAAGGTCATTGCAGAGGTCGAGCAGCATTTGAATAAGCACCAGTTTGGACGCCACCTTCCAGCAAAACAGGCGAAGAAGGCTATGACAGAGCTGGGAATTCCCGCGGAGCACATTCCAAGTGATCGAGCTTTAGATGGTGTCAGACACCGACATTTGGAAGAGGCCAAATCCTATGACGGCAAGTTTGTTTCCACATTTCGAGCTTTTTGCCAGAACCCACCCTTGCCAGTCGCTGTGCTTCACACGGAAGAGACACCTCTGGTTTCAGAAGAAACGGTTCGGGTCTTGTTTTACGAGCAAGAGAACTTGGATGCCGTGATTGCCTACCTTGGCACACAGGATCGGTGTGTGCTCGTCATGGATGCCACATTCAAGACCAATGTGCAGGATCTTGTGTTAGCTAGCCTCGGACTGGTCGTCTTGCACCAGGTTGGCGGAGTGGTGCGCAATCGATTCTGGCCGGTAGTTTGTGCTGTGTGTGACAAGGAAGATGAACCGTGTTATGCACTCTTATGTCGATCTTTCCAGAAGCTATTGGAAGCTTCGGGTTTGGATTGGAAGAAACTGGTGACGAATGTGGTCATGGATGGTGCAGGCGGTGCCATCAATGCGACAAGTGCATGCTTTCCAGACGCTACTTTGCACCGGGACTTAGAACACATAAAGAAAGACGTCAAGCGCACAGGGACAAAAAAAAAAAGTTGACTCAGAGTTGACACTGGAGATAACGGAAATCATCCAGTTCAGCGCGAAAATCGCACATCCATTACAGTTCCATGTCATCTGGGAAGACACGTTGCGAAGGCTGCGTGACCCCGAAGACTGGAATCAGGACAGCGCGCTGTGTGTGTGTGTGTGTGTGTGTGTGTGTGTGTGTGTGTGTGTGTGTGTGTGTGTGTGTGTGTGTGTGTGTGTGTGTGTGTGTGTGTGTGTGTGTCTGTGTGTGTTTGACATGGTTTCGATCTCTTGAGCTGGCTTCATAGACTATTTTTTTCGATCTTGATAGCGCTGGGTTGATAGACCAGAAGGCTGCTGCTGGGAAAGCTGCCTTGGGGTAACGCAGCGGAGCTTGTAGGTTTGTTTGAGGAGAAATTCGCGGATTACTTGGAGAAGTGGGTCTTGCAGAAGAAAGGCTTGTGGTGGAGCGCAGATTGGCAGAGTGGTCTCGGTCAAGTGTGCCCGGGTTACGGCACTTATGTGTCGAATTCCCAAGAGCGGGCTTGGCGTTCGATCAAAGGTCTTTTCAAGAAAGGCTTCCGACACCAGGATGTCAGCCAATTGGTGCGTGAAACAGCCGTGACCCTGCAGACTCTGGTGCACGGAGGACAGTATGCCAAAGCATGCTTTCAGATCGAGGAGCCTCCTGAGTCACTTGCGTACAGTGCGAAAAGGTTAAAGTCCGAGCAAGATGATGAAGGAACCCAATCCCACCGGCTCACGTTGGACTTGATGCAGCAGTGGCGAGATAAGGAAGGCATGCGGCATGTGTTGTGTTCCTAAAAGCAGTGTTGGTGCTTGGTTAAAACAGTGCAGTAGTGTATGCCGCAAGGTGACGCAAACACCTTTCTCAAGTACGAGACTGCGGGCCGCATCATGGTAGACTGTCGGACGGTGGACATTACTTCAGTCATCGTTATGCCAAAGTACAAATTGGAGTATGCCAAGAACAAGAAAAGGGACATGGTGCAGCGGTTGGACTTGGCACTTTGTTCTTTGTATGAAGATGGTGAAGCTGCTTTTCGCACTGCTTTGGGAAACCCAAGGCAGTGGTCCTTTTCCATGCATAAAAAATTGTTCTACAAGTACACTGTGATGTATGTGCTTAGCACGGGCCGTGTCGTGGATGAACATCCACATTTTGTGCACAGTAGCTGCAGCGAGCAGGCTTTCTTTTACAAATCCGTGTTAGGCAGCTTGAATCTGCACCCCATTGCAAGGGGCCCCAAGATTCTCAAAGCCAGGCGTCCACGGCGGGACAGGCGAACCGAGGAGTTTCGCAAAAAAATGCGTACTCCTTCGCCTTGATCCTGCAACACGTTCATGGTTTGAGGAGCCGATTGTTTTCTGTGTTTGTGGCTTTTGGACATGTGCTTTGACGGATAGGAAAAAGTGCGGAAATTTGATACCCTTGTTTACGGCTGCGGGATGATTTGGGACGCTGTGTTATTGCGATAGTCAGATGTCTTTATTTTGATGCAATCAGAAGTCAGATGTTTTTATTTCGGTGCAAGCAAAAGCTGCGGAATGCCAAGACGTGAGTGCCTGAAGCCTTCGGGTTGAGGGTTTAGGGTTTTGGTTTAGGGTTGCCAGTGAAGGGCCTCTAAGGGCCTCTAAGGGTCTCTGAGGGCAGGCAGTGAAGGGCAGTGAAGGGCAGTGAAGGGCCTCTGAGACCCTTTATGAAGGGCCTCTAAGGGTCTTTGGGCTGAGGGCAGGGAAGAGTGAAGGGCCTTTAAGGGCTTTTAAGGGTCTTTAGGCTGAGGGCAGTGAAGGGCCTCTAAGGGTCTCTGGGCTGCGTTCTGGGCTGAGGGCAGTGAAGGGCAGGGAAGGGCAGTGAAGGGCCTCTAAGGGCTTTTAGGGGCCAGTGAAGGGCAGTGAAGGGCCTCTAAGGATCTCTGGTGAGGGCAGTGAGGGGCAGTGAGGGGCAGTGAAGGGCAGTGAAGGGCCTCTAAGGGTCTCTGGGCTGGGGGCAGTGAAGGGCAGGGAAGGGCAGTGAAGGGCCTCTAAGGGCTTTTAAGGGTCTTTCGGGGGCAGTGAAGGGCAGTGAAGGGCCTCTAAGGGTCTCTGCAGTGAAGGGCAGGGAAGGGCAGTGAAGGGCCTCTAAGGGCTTTTAAGGGTCTCTAGGGGGCAGTGAAGGGCAGTGAAGGGCCTCTAAGGGTCTCTGGGCTGAGGGCAGTGAAGGGCAGGGAAGGGCAGTGAAGGGCCTCTAAGGGCTCTAAGGGCGGGCAGTCAAGGGCAGTGAAGGGCCTCTAAGGGTCTTTGGGCTGAGGGCAGTGAAGGGCAGTGAAGGGCCTCTAAGGGCCTCTAAGGACCTTTGGGCGGGCAGTGAAGGGCAGTGAAGGGCTTCTAAGGGTCTCTGGGCTGGTTTAGGGTTTGGGTTAAGGGTTTTGGGTTTAGGGTTTGGGGTTTAGGGTTTAGGGTTTGGGGTTTAGGGTTTAGGGTTTGGGGTTTAGGGTTTAGGGTTTAGGGTTTAGGGTTTAGGGTTTGGGGTTTAGGGTTGAAGGCAAGGCCAGTGCAGGCCCCGGCAAACGCTCACCTGCGCAGGCAAGCGTCTCGCAAAGGCAGGAGCTGCGGCCACTCACCTGTGCAGGCAAGCGCCGCCACCAGCAAAACCGCGCGTTATTCCAAACAAATAACCCTAAAGCCGCTGACATGCTTGCATTTGTGTGTTCTGCTTTTTCTTTTTTTTGTGTCTTTTTGTGTCTGGTTTGTTCTTGTTGTTCGTGGTTTTTTGTTTTTGCTTACGTTTGGTTTGTTCATGTTTTTTGTTGCGTGTTTTGGCTTTTTTCTGCTTTCTGCAACTTTGCTCTTTTTTGCGAACTTATTGTGCGTCTCGATGCAGATTCCAACTTAAAATCCATATATCTGTCCAGTCACTGTGAAACAGGAGCTTTGAGAGCTGTAGTTGGGGCTGAATAAGGCATTTGGAGATTTGTTCTTTTGGTGTGCCAGCAGGCGCCATTTCAGCCGCTCTTCCAGCGCCATCTTGTTTAGAAGACCCTGCTTCTCCAGGCCACCAGATTGCAACCGGTATTTGGCTTCGTCGAAGGGGCATTAATTGTTTGTGTCCCAGCTTCCGGTTGTTCCAATAGCTCTTTATCCGCCCCCATGGAGAGACACCTTGGAATTGACACGCCAGCTAGCTGCGCTGGGCCTTGGCCGCACCCCACAGCGTGTTGGCAGCCGTGTTGACTTGCCAGTATTGGACATTTCCATCGGGTTTATGCCATCTCCGGACGCCGAAAGGAGATACATCCACTTCTCGCAAGGCCGCCAAGTTCGTTAAGTGTAGCTTCGAAAAAGCGCCAATTTTGTACATGCTGACACGTGACGTGACATCCGGCCACTCAAGTTGAAAATCGACCAGAAGTGCTCCAAGCTTGGTTGGCCACAGCAGCCGAGAGGGCTTGCCGTAGGCTGGTTTGATCTAAATTGGTGGACCTTTAACCACCCTTTGTTCAAATTTTTGGACTTGTCAAAGTGGTGTTCTTTTTGGTTTTTTTGGTTCCCGCTGAAGAAGTGTGAGGCTAAAAGCTTAATGTGGACTCAAAAGTGGTGCTGCATTCAGTGTTGAGACACTTCAAGTTTTGGATTTTTTCTGTCAAAGCGGTCTAAGACACCTTTGATTTTTCAAATTGTTTTTTGGTCTGTCAAATTGTTTCAGCCAGTGTACCACTGATTGCGCTCTGGCATGCACGTGGGGCAATCGCAAAGAATCCGGTTGTGGGTGGTTCCATACAACCTCAGGGTCTCTTCTTTGTCTTCCTTCTCCAACCTTCTGCATGTTAACTTTGCCAACTGCATGGGGGGCCAACAACGTCTCAAAACCAAACACATCTGGTGTTTCGCACGATCGCAACTACGACCACGACAACGGTAAACTGCCACTACAACCATGACCACTAACATTTGTCTTGCAAGGAGTCATTGCCTGGTTGAGTCCAGATCAGAAGTGGGAAAACTGGTGTGCAACTTGCCGAGACACATTTTTAAGGTTTGGATCTTCGAAAAACCGCAGCTAACAAACAAAAATTGCAAAAAGAACTGGAAAAGGAGGATTTAATAATTCTCTTCTCTTCTCTTCTACAGACCTTCGAAGAACAAGAGATTGAGAGAGGTGGAATCTTGAATAATTCTTTACTCTTCTCTTCTACAGGCTCAAAGGACAAGAAGAAACTCAGTCGAAGTCTGAAGCTCCAACTCAAATTGCAGAAGCGATGGTTCAAAAAGCTTCGAAGGCTTCAAAGGGACTTCAAAGGGTAAGAACAAGGGAGCTTCGAGGCTTCGAAGGTGGTGGCTTCCATTCAAGCTTGGGTAAGCCAAGCCATCATGAGCTGCATGCTTCTCCCCATCTGGTGTCCTTCCAGGTGCACCTTGCTCAGATCTACTTGACAGAAGTCCACTCTAGAAGTCAAGCGCTTTCGCCTTTGTTTTTGACTGTAAAGCGTTTTTGCTTGAAGTCTAGAACTCAGAGCCGTGCGGTGGCAGTGGCAATGTTTGGTACAGTCTTTGTCTGTTCCAGAAACTGTCGAAACAGAAAACCATTTGGGGCTCCCAGCACTGTCACGGAAGATCGTTTGCACTTTCCCCCGCGAAGTCTAACTTGTCAGAAAACCAGCAGTTTCACAACAGTGTGGTGTTTGGATGTCCAGTTGTTGAGGCATGGGTCTTGACATTTGTCCATGTTTGGGTTTGCGCTTGCCAGAGAAAGGGACCAAAGGAGGGCCGAAGGTTTAACCAACACGATTCTTTACACGCTAATGGGGCTCACTGCCGAAGTCATTGTACTGCTCTATGACTACTACTACTGCTACTACTACTACTACTACTACTCCTAGTACTACTACTACTACTACTACTACTACTACTGCTACTACTACTACTTCTGCTGCCTACTGCTACTGCTACTGCTACTACTACTACTACTACTACTACTACTACTACTACTACTACTAGTACTACTACTACTACTGAATTACTACATACTGCTACTAGTATTACTATTACTGCTACTACTATTACTACTACTACAACTACTACGACTACTGCTACTACTATTATTACTACTTCTACTACTACTACTATTATTATTATTACTACTACTACTACTACTACTACTACTACTATTACTACTGCTACTACTACTATTATTACTACTATTACGACTACTACTACTATACTGCTACTGCTACTACTACTACTACTACTACTACTACTGCTACTACTACTACTACTATTATGTCTATTACGACTACGACTACGAGTACGACTACGACTACGACTACGACTACGACTACGACTACTACTACTACTACTACTACTACTACTACTACTACTGCTACTATTGCAACAACAACAACAACAACTACTACTACTACTACTACGACGACTACCACTACTACTCCTGCTACTACTACTGCTACTACTACTACTACTACTACTACTACTACTACTACTACTACTACTACCAATTCCCCTCCCCCCCCAGTGCGGATGCCGTTGGACTCGTCAAGATGAACGCGTCAACCCGAAGAATATGTCATGCTGTTCGTTGCAGCAGCACGTCGTTTGAGAAGAAGGTCTGAGACCTAAACTCTAAGCCCAGCAGGCGCCTGGAACCCTTCTGTCAACTCTATACCCTAGACCGTACACTCTATATACCCTGTTCGCATGCACGGGTAACACACAAAGTTCGCCTATCTGAAACGTATTTACCCACCCCCCCCCCACCCCACCCAACAAAAGATAGGATGTGTGGCGCAGTAAATTTGCGCTGTGGTGCGCCTGTCCTCTTCATCGAGCACGAAAATGCTGGAATTTACAGCGTTTTCGGCGACTGTAACAGCAGATATGCTGGTTCCAATAGTGCGGACATGGATGCTTTGGGCATTCGCACGCACTGTTAAAACGGACGTTATCATGGTGCGGACATAGATGTTTGTGGCCATTCGCACGCACCTGTGACGCGGACAGTATGATGGTGCGGACACGGATGCTCTGACCTTTCGCACGCACGGACAACAAACGTAATTACTCCCCCCCCCCCCACCCCACCGCCACCCCGCAAAAGAGTAGGATGCGTCGCGCAGTAAATTTGCTCTGCATGGTACGCCTGTCCTCTTCATCGAGCACGAAAATGCTGGAATTTACAGCATTTTCGGCGATTGTAACAGCAGATATGCTGGTATTTACAGCATTTCCGGCCGCAGAAGACAAAAAAAGGACAAAAACGCGATCGACAAAATCGAGGCTGAAAATCGGTGTTTTTTTTTGAGACACAAAACAAACCTAAGTTTTTTTCAAAAATCGAGCGCGAATCCTGTTATTTACAGCATTTTGTGGTCGAAAACGCATTTTTTCCAAAAAACCTTCCAAAACGCGACTTTTATATGCGTGAAACGCGCATTTTTGAAAAAACACACACACACACACAAAATGTCGCACCGGGGGGGAAACCCTCCTACTACTACTACTACTGCTGCTGCTGCTACTACTACTACTACTACTACTATTACTACTACTACTACTACTACTACTACTACTACTACTACTACTACTACTACTACTGCTGGTTCCAACCTGGGTTCGAACCCAAGTACGAACCCAGGTAACCCAGGTTCAAACCTGGGTTCTTGGCGAAATAAGTCATAGTCATAGTTTTTCGAACTTGGGTTCGGAAACGTGGGTTCGAGAATTTTTTCCGAGTTTAGCGAACAAATGCGATCCACCGTCTTGGTGTTTGGGTTGTGAAAACCGTGCCTCTGTACTGGCACCACTGATGGCCCTCTTGGCCCTAATGTACAGGGGAGGAAATCACCTCCTCCACGTGGGTTCGAGAACCTGGTTCAACCTGGATTCGACAACCGGTTCGAAGCGAATTATCAGAACTATTAGTTCGGAACCCAGGTCAAAGACGATCTCAGTTCAAATTCATGTACATGCGATGACTATCTTGATCGAGTTTGTCTAGTGCACATGTGGAGGCAATGGAATCGTTCTTTGGAAGCATCTCTTTTGCCCGTGGACAACGAATGGATGATGAGCCAATCAATGAGAGCTGGTTCAAAGCAACAACACATGGCCCGATCCGGTCACTTGTAAAGCGAGGCTTTCAAAAATCTGAACACGCTGTTCTCGGGTTTTTTGCCCAGCATCACCCCGACCAGGCCGTACATGTAAAAAAAATCTTTTCTGGGGAGTTTGTACGGACTTTGTACGGAATTTTTGGGTTGTAAGCGCATTTTTTTTCCATGAGCCCGTCCGGTCATGTGTTGTTTGAAGCAGTCTTTCGCAACATGTTCATTTGCATTTTTCGGCCCAGATACTTGGAAAGCCCACTGCAATCAGCACGGGACGGTGCAGTAGGGCATCATGGCCGAAGAGGAAGACTTCTATGTGCGCTATTACGTGGGTCACAAGGGCAAGTTCGGGCATGAGTTTTTGGAGTTCGAGTTCAGGCCAGACGGTCGCCTGCGTTACGCAAACAACTCCAACTACAAGAATGACGTGATGATCCGAAAGGAGGCGCACGTAACACAAGCAGTGATGAAGGAACTCAGGAAGATGATCGAAGATTCTGAGATCCTGAAGGAGGATGACAACCACTGGCCAGCACCAGATCGCATCGGTCGGCAAGAACTGGAGGTCGTATGTGGGAAGGAACACATCTCATTCACCACCTCCAAGATCGGATCACTAGCAGACGTCCAGGCCTCAAAGGATCCAGAAGGCCTCCGAGTCTTCTACTACTTGGTGCAGGACCTGAAGTGCTTCGTGTTCAGCCTCATCGGTCTGCATTTCAGGATCAAGCCGGTCTGAGAGGGCTGAGCGGGAGACCACGCTGATGCACCCGATGCATGCACTAGGCTTAAATGTTCCTTATTGGTCGGATTTTGTGAGATGGGGAGGGAAACGTTACAGGATAGAGCATGACATCTTTGCTGAGATTGAAGTGCGTCGAGACAATGTCGTCACCAGTTATGAAGATTGAACAAAGCCGCGGGTACTTGCAACAAGGTGCTGTATTGCGAGTGCGAGCGAATCGATGACGCAGATTGATTTCCTGCTTGCTTGAGGTGCTCCATTGAGTTGAGTAGGCAGCCACGCACAATACAGGCTTTGATTGATGTCTGCCGAAGCTTGGATCGAACAGCACTGGACATGCCCAGTACATGTCGTACGTAAGCTTCTTTACGTATATCAGAATCGTTTTAAGCCGTTGCCATGCGATGATGGCGCTAGCCGTCCAGCTGATGTTGAACTGGGGGACTGCTCTGCTCTTGTCCATCACTTCGCCAAACTCCAAAGAGACAAATGGCACAACATTGAGAACACGAAAGACTGCCGAGAAGCCCCCGACTGAAGTTGCAGATGCTCCTGCTTTGAGAGTTGTGGGGGGAAACATGCGCACAAGCACACAAAAAACGCTATGATTGCCCAACGACGAATCTGACTTGACGGAATGATGCACCAGAAGGAGCAGCTAGGGATGCTGTAGCGTGGTCAGCAAGACGGGCCATGTGCTACAGCTTCTTGCAGCACAGCCCTTCTATCCTGTTCCGGCCATACATCTGGCAGCGAGTGACGTCAAGGTGCTGGTCAACAAGATTCACTGTTGGTCACATCAATGTACGGGAAGACCGTGGTGAAGCTTCCAGTTCTCGGCTTTCGATCCGGCACTACTTCAAGGAAGCTGACTTCTTCTGAGCGACCAGGCTCGGATGCGTCAAGACTGTGTTGCTTGGTCCTTGCATGTTACAAGGCCACGCGAATGATTGTGCATGCTGCATGAGTCCATGAGCTTTCATGTGAAATGCCGCTGGTTGTTGGGCCCAAATGTTTTGGCATTCCAAAGACCGCTCCAGGAGTGCAGCAAGCTGCCAGTGTGTCCTTGAGTTGTGAGCTTTGTCAGGTAAAGAAATGCCCTCTTTGCACAGGACTTCTGGAGTGGCTCCATCTGTCCACAATGAAGGTCACTACGAGTCAAGAATGAGTCATCATCACAAGTATCGTGTGAAAGCCAGTTTTCACAGACCGTGTACCGCACGAAGAGCCGCCAGGTTTCTCGAATTATCCTCCTATGGCTGCACTTCCAGCTGGTCCTTCCGTCGCGTGCTTGGATACGTAGGCCAAGAAAACCACACCCTTGTGACAGAGCCGCTGCTCAGGTTTCGCTACAAGAGCAGCAGGCATGGGCAGCATTTGAAGTCCAACTCGAAGGTGCGCATCCGCATTTCTGCAGAATGACAGCCTACTACTCTCAGGTCCGGAGGCCTGGCAAGTCGCAATTCTGTGGCTCGGTGGAAGAGTGTGGTATCCGGCTGCAATTGTTGTTGTGTAGATTTCAAACCGTGTCTGTCCTGCTCAGGGCAAACGGTTCCTGCTACCCACGGCTTTCGTGACCCTAAGTAGAAGGGCACCACAGACACCCTGTCCGGAGCGCACTTATGCTTTCAGCCTTGAATTTCAACTTTTCAGTTCGGCATGGTGGGACTGTTATATAGATGGCTCAGGGGAATACAGCATTGCGTTTCCGTGTTTGCTTCCCGGTCAGTCAACGCACCACCTCGGCAGTTTGCAGGCACTAGCCGTAGGTATGTATGCGCGGGTTTTGCCATGCTTCATGCTGAATGTCTCTAAGGTGGAGAAGCCGGCCTCTTTGGGGGGGCCACTGAGCTGAGAGCCTGTTGAGCCATATGATATAGCAAGTTGTCACGGTATAGAGTGTTGCTTGCTGCCTGCTGCATTCTGAAACTGATGGGTTTTACTGGAGGCTTGCAGTCCCATATATGTTGCGGACAGCAAGACAGTAGGATTCTTGTTGCCAGCTGAGGCTGAGTGAGTTTCGAGAATCTTGGCACAAGTTCAGCATTGGCTGGATGTACACGTGGCAGCAGGCAAGGGGCTGTCAATATCATTGTTCAATCAGGCACGTGTTCTGCGCAGATTACGTCAAAGCAGACAAGCGGCAGATGTCGAGACACCTCGGCTCGTTTTTGCTCGTCGCATGAATTTCATGAGCGTGCGCATTCCCTTTTCACATTCGGCTTGGTGGGGCATGGCAGGCTGGTCAGTCGCAGCAGGACTGCCTTGCAAACTCCTGGGACAGCCAATTTTCCTGTCCAGGTTCTTCACTCGTTCGTTCTGATGTCTGCATATGACTGCAGGACGCAAGATGCCGAAGGGCACACGCTAGTGCCCGCGCCGCAAAGCGTCGAGCTCCTGTCAGCACCGCCTGTGCAGCTGCCGCTCGGATCCGCGGTCCTGGTCACAGGAGGCCCGCTTCAACAGAGAACTCCAATCTATGTTGCACCGAGAGGGGAGCCTTGTTTGTGCAGGAACGCCAGAGGATCTGAGCAGCTTGAAGGAGCATGTCTTGGAAGTTGGCAAGTTCACAGTGGCTTCAGTTTTCAAGCCTGGACTTGTCATTGAGTTGAAGTCCGAAGATGTCGACGGTCTCGAGGGTGTGAAGGGTGAGGCCTACAAACTCGACGTCGCGGACAAGAGAATCACACTGACCTCATCAACAAGTCATGGCTTCTTCAATGCCATGATGACCCTTCGACAGCTCATATCTGTGAAGGATGAAACTGTATCGATTCCGCAGCTGCACATTCAGGACGCTCCCATGCACGAATGGAGAGGTCTTATGCTCGACGTCAGCCGCCACTTCTTCAGTGCAGATGAGGTGAAACACCTGCTGCGAACTATGGCTCTTTTCAAACTGAACCGATTTCACTGGCATTTGTCTGATGATCAAGGGTTCCGGGTGCCAATTGCAAAATACCCAAAGCTTACAGAGGTTGGTGCCTGGCGAGACGGAACGCAGCAAGGTCATAGCAGCTGGAACATCCAACGACAGCGGTACGGAGGTTTCTACACGAGGGATCAAATTCAGGATGTCGTCAGCTATGCGGAATCATTGCACATCATGGTCGTGCCAGAAACGGATTTGCCTGGACACGCCCAGGCAATAGTCGCCGCATACCCAGAGTTTAGCAATCAAGATGCAGTAAATGGAGCTCCCCAGGTCATGCAAACGTGGGGGGTGTCGGACTATGTTTTGGCCCCGAACGACAAGACATTTGCCTTCGTGTCTGATTTGGTCGGGGAGGTGTCCAACTTGATCAAGTCAGAGTACTACCATGTGGGTGGGGATGAAGTCTCCGGCAGACAGTGGGACAGCTCCCCAAGCGCGCTGTCGTTTGAGCAGCAGCACCACTTGGCCTCATCAAGGCAGATTGCAGGTACTTTTACACAGAAGGCAATAGAAGCCGCAAATCGTGTTGGCCGATCGGGCATTGTTTGGGATGAAGCTCTCGCTACGGGAGTTCCCTTGCCGCAGCACAGCGTGGTCATGATCTGGCGGGATTGGGACAATGTCCCTTCCAAGCTTCGTGTGGCAGCTCAGCGAGGGTTGCCAGTGGTCATGTGCCCACACAGCGCAACATATCTGGATTTTGCACAAGGGCCAAGCGATCCCTACGAGTCCCAGCAGGGCGTCGTGGACCTGCGAAAAGTTTACAGCTTGCCTTTAGACGGACATGGAGCCAACATTCTTGGAGGTCAGGGCCAGCTGTGGAGCGAGTATATCAGGCGTGGTCTCTCGCTTTTGCATGCTTAGCTTTGCAATCGAGATTCAAGAACTCATCATTGACATCGTTTTTTGTTTTTTTCATGAGAGCTTGCCTTGACGCTGTCAGTCGCGGGCTTGACGACCTGGACTTCAAGGAACGGGGCTCCGGCGTTGTAGGTCATTGCTGGTGCAAGCGTGTCCCATCGTTTCCTGCTCTCCACGCCTGCTGCGCAGGCCTGGCCCCGCGGAGCTGCGATTGCAGAAGCGACCTGGTGTGACCATCGCCGACCGGGTTTCGATGACTTCAAGAGGCTGTGGGAAGCTTGTGGGAAGCTTGATGAAGGGTGTAGCCTCAGCTGTCATGCTTATTTAGTGTTTGTTCTACTTTTTCTTGTTGCGTTTGTTGATTGTGCCGGTGTTCTGGGTGACGGTATGAGTGTTTCCCTGACAGCTTCTCTCCTTTTTCAGGTTTAGGGTTCTTTCGGGCTTCGGGGTTGAAAGCTGCTTGCCAGCCTCTGTGATGCACCGGCAACAGAGCAACCTATGCCGCCTATACCCCACAAGAATCGGTCGGCACGTCGGTCTGCCTGTTGGCGCCTTCAGGCGGATCAAAGCCAGAGCCTCCAACTTCAAAGAGCTGGGCATCGAGCTGATCATGAGCTGATCAGGAGCTGAGAGAGAGCTTTTCCTTGGCCACATTTAAACGTTGCAGGTGAGCTGAGGCGTGCCAGACTGAAACAGCTTGGAGAAAAAGAGCGCTGAAGGACGATCTGTAGCTGCAAGAGCCGCTGTCCCATTCGAGAGGCAACTCGCCGTCAGCACGACGAAGACCGGGACGTCGCGACGGCGGGAAGCTGGGCTCCCTTGTTGATGGTCGCGGGTCGTGCGACTGTAGGTGACGGATGACAGAGAGCTTGGGGTAGGAGCGGATCCAAGCATATAGGAGCATGGCTGAACTCATTCATGACTCGCTCTCTGCGCCTGCAGGTGACAAAGCATTTGCCCGTCCATGCCACAAGACGGGCTATGCCGCACTTCTTTTGCATTTGTTTATGCGGGTCGTTAGCCATTGGGAGCTTGCGCAACTCATCCTGCAGCACTTTCAGCAGACAATTGGCGGCAGGATGGACTGCCGAATGCTACAGACTGTTCTAGATGTTCGGAAGGTTGCCCGGGTCCTGTGGTGCTTCCAAAACTTTAGTGTTTAGGCATTTTGGCTCAGGGAATTGCAAACGAGTAGGACAACGGCTAGTGCCATCTGTGCAGCCACGTTCCAAAAGATGTCTCACCATGTGGTCTCAGCACAGCAGAGCCTCAAAATGAGGACAGCAGCGTGGTGGGAATCCCATTCAGAACATTTCTAACCGCGAGTTCAAAGCTGCTTTTGCACCAGTCTTTTTGGTTCTTTTTGCAGAGGGGAGTGAAGGGCGGACATGAGCTGGCGGCTGCTTACGCGCTCTGAGTGCACTCTGTGAATTCTGGTTTCTTCCCCAGTCCTTTTGGCTGATATTCAAAGAACAAGAAGTGACAGAACACGTACGTCCAAATGCAGAAAGCTACTGACAGATAGCACGCACCTTTTGCAAACTTCGATTGCTTATCATTCGGGGCTGGGCGCCGTGCAGCCTTCTACAGCGTTAGGAGCCTGGAAGCCTGGAGCGCTTTGGCTGTCATTCTGTGTCGCACCGCCCTTGGGAATCCAAGGACCTGCAAGGAGCTTTGGCATCGACATGTCGGCAGCTGGCCCAGAACACGAATGTTAGAGCAATGGGCCATGGGCTGTTCTGCAAGGTCACCGTGTATGATGGGCAGTACAGCTTCAGGCCCTTACAGCACACCGAAGCCTTGAAGCGTTGTTGTTCTTTCCATGTCAAGACTCCTCAGGAAATCGGCCTGTTGACATGCACAGGCAAAATGAGCTGGCGACGAAAGGCATCCAGCACGGAGGGCACCGCATGTCGCAAGAGTTGCCGGCTTGGATGCTATGCAGTCGTAGTTCAACACAGTTCGGTATGCTGGCAGATGTTGACAGAAAGTCCACGAAGCACCAAGGCAAACAAAAGCTTTCGAGGCAAGTCCATTCATGTTGAAGGCACCGTTGGTAGTCATAGCAGCTACACTGTGTCTGAGTCGGGGCCTTACATTTGACAGTGCCGACAGTCACCTTCACGATGGTCAGGCTCGGCAGCAAGAGCAATACGTGCCGCTCAGCTGCAGCTGTTAGTATCTGCTTCTGCCTTGGGACGTTGATGAAAGTTGTGGCCTTGCGTGCTTGCTGGGCACAGGTCTCAGCTGACCAGTGAGCGGGACAAGATGCGCAAGCAGACGGACAAGGAACCCGATTGCCCGCAGCATCCCACCGTGGCAGAGGGGGTAAAGACCCGGACTTTGCCCAGGATTTTAATCCTTGCGATGAAGACTTTACCGCGGCGAAGGCCAGCGCCGTGTCTGCGGCAGTGGATTTTGTGATGTGGCACCCGGAGCGCAAACTTTGGCCCCAACTGCAGCGGAGCAGCAAGCTTCCGTTTAGCCTCAGGTCCTTAAATGTGTCATCTTGGAGGGTCTTCGGGCAGTAGCAGATTCGACCGCGATTCAGACACGCGGGGAGCACTTCAAGAAACCAGGACTGAGCAATTTCCGGCAGTTCATGAAGCTGTTACACAAACAAAAGTGCAGCACTTTGAGCTATGGTGTCGGACATATTTGAGCGTTTTTGATTGGACTGGTTCCCTCAAAAGCAGGGGAGGGGTCGGGCCAAGCCCTGGTGGTGATGTGCGCTCGTTGAACATTTTTCCGACCTGATTGCCAATGGAGGCGCACGACTATGACAAGGGCGTGAACTACTACACTGTGACCCTGGCTGTTTGGGACTTCGCTGGGCCATGTGTGCCTGCTACTGTGCATGCTACGCAGGTTCTAGGTCGCTTGAGCAGCCGTGCAGTCCTCTAGACAAACCGTTTTCTGTGCCTGATGTCAATGACAGGTCCTTGGTGTAGATGAGTATGCCCCCTTAGAGGAGATCAAGAAGGCACGCAGCATGTTCATGCAGAAGCACGGCCATAATCTGGACAGCCTGCATGAGAAGGCCTACAAGAAGTTGTCGCTGATCTATCATCCTGACAAAATGGCTGGCCTGTCCAAAGAGGATTGCCCAGAGGGTATGTAGACTTGGATGATGATATCCGAAGGTCCATGGTTAAGTGTCGCAGGAGCAGGAGGAACGTGCTGGAGTATTTATTGAGATCAAGTGGTGGCCTCGGCAAAGAGTTTCTAAGCCCGCAGTTGTTTTTAGTTCTGACCCTGCTGCACGGAGTCTGCTCAGGAATGCCTACCTTGTTCTGAGCGACCAGGCTTCGAGCATGTTGAGACCATGCCGCTAGTTCCTGGCCATGTTATGTGACCAGACCAGGCTACTTTTCAGACAAGTTCAGCGAGGGAGTTGCGATTTGAGTCATCGTGCGTGTTCTGCGAGCTGTTTCTATAGTACCGATGCTTGGGCCCAAGCCTACCCAGAGTCCGCTTAGCGAAGCTTAGAGTTGTTGAGTTTGATCCGCCGCCTTTAAAAGATTCTGGCGCGGCTTTCCATCTGGCACAATGAAGGTGCGGTCAGTACATGATGAGCCACTGAACAAGCCAATGAACAAGCCAATGCGCACGTGCCAATCGCGCGAAGACCCAGCAAGAGACAGACAGTCGCCAGGTCTTTCGAGTTATTCTGCTATGGCAGCTGCACTTCCAGCTAATCCTTCCGTCGTCGCGTGCTCGGATGCGTTCAAGGCCAAGAAGGCCACACCCGTGTGACGGAATTGCTGCCTGCAAGGTTTTGCCACAAGAGCAGCAGGCATGGGCCACGGGCAGCACTTGAAGTCCAATTCGCAGATGCGCGTCCGCAGTTCTGCAGAATGACAGCCTTACTACTCTCAGGTCCGAAGGCCTGGCAAGTCGCAATTCTGTGGCTCGGTGGAAGAGCATGGCTGAGAGTGTATCATCCGGTTGCAGTTGTTGTTGTGTAGGTTTCGGATCGTGTTCCAGGGCAGACGGTTCCTCCTTCGGACCATACTTGAAGATGCTTTAAGTAGGGTGGCACAGACACCCTGTCCGCGGCGCACCTATCTAGTTTCGATGGCACAGGGTTCAGCCCACCTGCGAACAGTTAAAGTCCAAGTGGCCAAAAGGGTTCCATAACTATTTCCAGGATCCGCAAGCTACTTGCTTTGCCATTGCATGCAGTTGTGTTCCAAGAGAGGGAGTGACTCTATTCCAGAGATGGGATGAAAAAAGGGACGTTGCGCCTCTGTGCCTGGGGTCAGTCAACCCGCCTCGGGAGCTGCTTATAGTTACTCATGCTGCCATCTGTAAGGCGGAGAAGCCCGAGCTCTTTGGGGGGCTACTGAGCTTGAGCTGGACAACATACAGCAACATGCCATGGCAGACTGGTTGTGCCCCCATACGGAAGACCCGAGTCGCAACGGAGGCTCGAAGTTGAGGGTGTGTCGCTGATAGCGACAAGAAGGCTCGGCAAGTTTTTGCTCGTATGAATACCATGCAGCATGCGCAGCGTGCGCGTTCCCTTTTCACATTCGGCTTGGTGGGGCATGGCAGGCTGGTCAGTCGCAGCAGGACTGCCTTGCAAACTCCCGGGACAGCCAATATTCCTGTCCAGGTTCTTCACTCGTTCGTTCTGATGTCTGCATATGACTGCAGGACGCAAGATGCCGAAGGGCACACGCTAGTGCCCGCGCCGCAAAGCGTCGAGCTCCTGTCAGCACCGCCTGTGCAGCTGCCGCTCGGATCCGCGGTCCTGGTCACAGGAGGCCCGCTTCAACAGAGAACTCCAATCTATGTTGCACCGAGAGGGGAGCCTTGTTTGTGCAGGAACGCCAGAGGATCTGAGCAGCTTGAAGGAGCATGTCTTGGAAGTTGGCAAGTTCACAGTGGCTTCAGTTTTCAAGCCTGGACTTGTCATTGAGTTGAAGTCCGAAGATGTCGATGGTCTGGAGGGTGTGAAGGGTGAGGCCTACAAACTCGACGTCGCGGACAAGAGAATTACACTGACCTCATCAACAAGTCATGGCTTCTTCAATGCCATGATGACCCTTCGACAGCTCATATCTGTGAAGGATGAAACTGTATCGATTCCGCAGCTGCACATTCAGGACGCTCCCATGCACGAATGGAGAGGTCTTATGCTCGACGTCAGCCGCCACTTCTTTAGTGCAGATGAGGTGAAACACCTGCTGCGAACTATGGCTCTTTTCAAACTGAACCGGTTTCACTGGCATTTGTCTGATGATCAAGGGTTCCGGGTGCCAATTGCAAAATACCCAAAGCTTACAGAAGTTGGTGCCTGGCGAGACGGAACGCAGCAAGGACATAGCAGCGGGAACATCCAGCGACAGCGGTACGGAGGTTTCTACACGAAGGATCAAATTCAGGATGTCGTCAGCTATGCGGAATCATTGCACATCATGGTCGTGCCAGAAACGGATTTGCCTGGACACGCCCAGGCAATAGTCGCCGCATACCCAGAGTTTAGCAATCAAGATGCAATCAATGGAGCTCCCCAGGTCATGCAAACGTGGGGGGTGTCGGACTATGTTTTGGCCCCCAACGACAAGACATTTGCCTTCGTGTCTGATTTGGTCGGGGAGGTGTCCAACTTGATCAAGTCAGAGTACTACCATGTGGGTGGGGATGAAGTCTCCGGCAGACAGTGGGACAGCTCCCCAAGCGCGCTGTCGTTTGAGCAGGAGAATCGCCTGGCCTCATCAAGGCAGATTGCAGGGACTTTTACTCAGAAGGCAATAGAAGCCGCAAATCGTGTTGGCCGATCGGGCATTGTTTGGGATGAAGCGCTCGCTACTGGAGTTGCCTTGCCGCAGCACAGCGTGGTCATGATCTGGCGGGATTGGGACAATGTCCCTTCCAAGCTTCGTGTGGCAGCTCAGCGAGGGTTGCCAGTGGTCATGTGCCCACACAGCGCAACATATTTGGATTTCGCACAAGGGCCACGCGATCCCTACGAGTCCCAGCAGGGCGTCGTGGACCTGCGAAAAGTTTACAGCTTGCCTTTAGATGGACATGGAGCCAACGTTCTTGGAGGTCAGGGCCAGCTGTGGAGCGAGTATATCAGGCGTGGTCTCTCGCTTGTGCGTGCTTAGCTTTGCAATCGAGATTCAAGGACTCATCATTGACATCGGTTTTCACGGTGCGTGTCGTTTTCACGAGAGCTTGCCTTGACATCCTTGACGCTGTCAGTCGCGGGCTGGATGACCTGGACTTCAAGGACCGGGGCTCCGGCGTTGTAGGTCATTGCTAGTGCAAGCGTATCCCATCGTTTCCTGGTCTCCACGCCTGCTGCGCAGGCCTGGCCCCGCGGAGCTGCGATTGCAGAAGCGACCTGGTGTGACCATCGCCGACCGGGTTTCGATGACTTCAAGAGGCTGTGGGAAGCTTGTGGGAAGCTTGTGGGAAGCTTGATGAAGGGTGTAGCCTCATTTGTCATACTTTGTTGACTTCAGTCTTCTTTTCTTCTTCTTCTTCTTCATTTTGCGTTTGTTGATTGGTCACGGCATTTCTTGTGCCACCGTCGTGTTTCCCAGACAGCAGCAGCTCCTGTTTAAGGTTTAGGGCTTTTGCGGGCTTCGGGCTTGCCAGCCGCTTGCCAGCCTCTGTGATGGGCTTCACGGCCGACATCTCCTTGTTGGCTTGTTCTTGCTGGGCTTGCCGCCCACCGGCAGCAGAACAACCTATGCCGCCTAAACCCCACAAGAATCTGTCGGTCGGCACGTCGGTTTGCCTGTTGGCGGCTTCAGGCGGATCAAAGCCAGAGCCTCCAACTTCAAAGAGCTGGGCATCGAGCTGATCGTGAGCTGATCATGTGCTGAGAGAGAGCTTTTCCTTGGCCACATTTAAACGTTACAGGTGAGCTGAGGCGTGCCAGACTGAAACAGCTTGGAGCAAAAAAAGGGCTCTGAAAATTGATCTTCAGCTGCAAGAGCCGGGCCTGTACGCATTTGCGGCATCAAGTCGAGAGGCAACTCGCCGTCAGTACGACCGAGACCGGGACTTCGCGACGGCGGGCAGCGAGGCTCCCTTGTTCACGGGTCATGCGACTTTAGAATGTGAGAGATGCTTGACAGATTGAGGTAAACGGCTACTCAAAGCGGAAAGATCGAGCTCCCTTCGATGCAACAGAGCTGATGAAGAAGATTCAAGAGCAGCTTGGTGGCAAGTGCAGGCCCTGGGCCTGAAGAGGCCATTGCAGCGACGCTGCGCAATGAGGCACTACAAGCCTCCGGGAAGAGAAATTGACGTGGAGGCAGCGCTCGTGGTTGAATAGGTTGAATATGTCGACTCCGAGCAGAAGCTGCGTGGTAGGTTCGGTGCAAGCTGGAGAAGTTCTTCTATGGCGGCACCAAGCAGGTCGTCAGGAGCATGGCTGGACACGCTCCCATACGTGCCTGCAGGGGCGTTTGTTATAGGTTCTACTTCACGCGAGGACTCGTCGAATTTACCGGGACTTCCAAGAGTTCCACGAAGACAAGCAGTTTCGTCTTGATGTACCCAAAGGTGCGATATAATGCAATGGCACCCATTTGCAGCAGATCACTGACTAATTACGAAATACTACGGTTTCATGTGCTCAGAGCACACCTTGCTGTGAATTGAAGGTGCGGCTGAGCCTTGGGACTCCTGACCTGCACCGTGAGAGACACTAGGGGATGATGTATGCTCTTGTGTTCTCTTGTGGGGGAGGCGTGGATGTGCTAAGGAGTGCAAGATGAAAGGTGGCGACATGAATTTGGAGGCGCAGACGGACACCCTGCGCTTTGTGGTGAAGTCCAAGCCCCACAAGGCAGGGGAGGGTCTGTTCTCGACGCCCACTTGGAATCCCGAGACCCTTGAGTGACCTCAGAGCTGATGGCTCAGGTCTTGGAGCGCCGCGGAGGGGACTTGCATGTCCTCCGAGAGGTGCGCCTGAGACCCGATGCGCGGGGCCTCGGGCTCTTTCGGGCTCCCTTGAATGGGGGGGGGGGCAAGTATGGGCATGTGGCATGTGCTTTTTTAGTTCGGACCTACGATACCCGAGGGGTAGCCAGGCATTTCCAGGCAGCTTCCAATGTTTTTTTTTCTAAGGCCCACTTGCAACCTTTCCTCCAGACCGCAGTCGGATGCTGAGGAATGCTCAGGTCATCTTGACTCATGTGGGATGAGATGCCTTCTTTCTTCTGCGAAACGGTGCCTGTAAGGTCAGCACGGTTGAGGGGCGTACCGTTCTTCTCTGGGGACAGAACCCGTTGTATTCCCAGGCAGGTGTTCAATCGTGGAATTCGCCGTGTCTGGTCCGTTCTGTGACTCTTGGAAGGCTGCATCATCCAGTGCTGTTCTCCACGCTTGCTGGCTCAGTCTGACAGCTGGCAGTCATTGCAACGTGTGCTACGTATGACCATTCAGATGTGCATCAAGGTGTCTGTGGAAGGTGAGGGCATTGGTGACAAAGGCGGAAGTGAGCCCATGCTCATGCGATCCCACACTTTTGTCGAACATAGAGCATGCACGAAATTGCACAGGCCATCTGCTGCTGTCTGCCCGCGTGGCTGCAAAAGCAGGGAGCACCCTAGCGGCAACAGAAGGGCGCTAGCTTTGACGGTGGGCTCCGTTATGACGGGCTCCGTTTCGACGCTGCGATGGCCCTCTGGTCTCAAGTTGGCAAAGTCGGCATGCCAAGGCCAAGAGACACGCCTCATCGTCGTCAAGACGCAGCTTGTCAGCAGCGCATGAGTGACCAAATGAAAACACGCCTGCCCGACGACTGCTTCTCGGCAAGGACATACACCAAGATCCAGTTCTACGTTGGAGTCCGGAGCTTGGAAGCTTTTGTGCCGCCAAGTGTCGCTGCACGTACACGCTGTAAGCGCAACTTCGGGAGGTTCCCGTGCCAGCCAGCGTGGAGGACCTCTTGCCCAAATTCTGTCAACCCTGCCACTGTCCACACGCGACCCTCCAAATCAAGCCAACATGGAGGACCTGCAGGAGTCCATCCGCGAGGTCTTGCAATGGCCTGAAGACCATCCTGTGACGTTGAGGAGGTCGGCTGTCATCCAATGACAGTCATCGTGTGCGTTTAACGCGCCAAATCGGGCTACGGCTATTGATTTTATTGTACCCTGCGTGCACACACTGGTCCGTGTGTCCGTGACTCTCAATGGCGTGCATGTGCGTTGCGCCCTCTGACTCCCTGCTTTGTGGCCATCCTCTGCCTTGAAACGTGAACAAGTACAGCCTAGGGCGGATTTTCTGCGTTTTGTTGTCAAACAGCTATCGAGGAGCTCCTCGGGCCTTCCATTTGGGGAGCAATCGTTGCTGGAGTCGGAGGACTCGGAAGTCGTCCTTGACTGCAGGGCTGGGGCCTCAGGGCCCCGCAACAGTCCGTGAGACAGTTGCGTCTGCTTCTGCTCAACGTGTTGCCCTTGGTCTGTACCCTCCACAGGCCGAGTGCGTGGCTGAGGCGCCTTTCTGCTATCTCCTTCTTACTTCTGTTTCTTCTGTTTGCTGTCGCACATGTGTGCACACATGTTGCAGAGCCCGGATGCACGATGGTTGCCATAATCTGCATGATGTGTTGATTGGTTCGGAGGTGCCGATGTCATTCCGGAGGGCCCGTGATCTGCTTGCAGCTATGGCCGCGTTTGCCGGCACAGATGCTTTCGAAGAGGCAGGACAGCTTTTTGCATGTTTTTTCTATGTGACCTTTTGTGCCTGCCAGGGGTTGAGCGGGTGCTTGCAAGCCGCGTCTTATCTGCAAAGCTCGGGCATCCGCCTAACAGTGTGGGATCGCTTTGTCATCGTTCTCCACACCCAGGTGGGTACGGCGCGCCACGAGAGCCTCCTTCGGAAGCTCTGGGAGCCTGCTTGTTCTTTCCTCGGGTCCATGACAGAGTCCATGAAGAGTTGGAAGTGAATGGAACACGTACTGGAACTGACTTGAGATGACAAGCGGTTCCTGGCCTAAGGTCGGAGTGCACTTTTGTGTGGCTACGAGCCGACTCTCGAAGGCCTGTGGAAGGCCGCCCAGCGTGCGCTCTGGGTGCTGCGCGAGGAGGTGGATGGCGAGACGCTGCAGCAGCGCTTCGCCCAGTTCGGCTTCGAGCTGCGGATGCCTCCGAAGCCGAGGCTGCCCAGGCGACGCAAGCTTCCGAGACCCGACGTGGAGAACTTCCTGGTGCGCAATGGGCTGGGACCGGCAAGCTGGAGTGACAGCCTCCCAGACCCTGGTTCAGAGACGGAGCCGGAGGAGGAGGCGCCGGACTACGAGGAAAGGAAGGCCCAGCAGTGCCGTGAGAATGAGGAGCAAGAAAAGGCCTTCCTCACTTTCCTCCGACACGGTGCCGCGCACGCTCCAGATCGAAGACGAGCAAAGCGCCTGGGTCCCTTCGGGGCTGCTGCTCACCCTCTCATGTGAGTGCCTCAGAGATCTGCAGTCAACACGTGTCTTGCTTGTACGGAGGATATCGAAGAGTCACACCGTGTCACTGTGTGACGCCAGGCTGCGACGCGCGGCCCACCGCGCGGAGCTGGCATCGGAGTGTTCCTTGGAGCTTCGCCCTCTCTTCGCGGGAGAGATCCTTGCTTCAATATCTTCAATGTGTTTTGAAGCAATCATCATTCCTGCCGCCAGCCGCCTTTGCAATGCCATGACGTAGGGCAAAGGGTTGTACCGAGGCCAATGCAGCTGTTCACCAAGCCAACTTGTTTTCTGCAGCCTGTGCGCATTCATCTGCATTTGCAAGCGGGATTGCAGCCCAACTTCTGCGACAGGTAGCACCCATTCCCAGCACCGTAATTCTTGTTGCCGAGGCAGTTCTACTCCAATGCAGGTCAAGCTATGCACGCAAATCCAGGCATCTCGTGCAAGACAAAGCTGTAGTCAAAGCTGTGTCATATCCTGATCATGCCCTGATGTTGCGCAGGCCAGCTGCAGCCGACGCCCATGTTTGCAGTGAACGCCCGAGTGTTGCATCATGTTGCATCCCTGTGTGTGTGGGGACATGTTCTCATTGCTTTTTTGGTAAGGTTGCAATTTGTTGTCCTTCGGGAGCGAAGAAGGCAGCTTGGATTACTAGTTGCCAACCTTTGCCTGGTTCTGAGCGGCAGTTGCAGTCATTGTAGTGCAGGCTGGACGGGAGGAGTGGATGCGACTTCGACATCAACTGCTCCCGGCGCTGAAGCACCTGCTCTTGATCTGCCTCTCGAGAGCTCGGAGTTTGCTGCCCCGGCAGCTCTTGCCTTCTCCAGCATCTTCTGCTGGCTATGCAGAAACAGGCGGTGTGTCCGTTAACTCCGGCAAAGCACAACCAACATGCGATGATGGGGCCGACGAGTCCAGTGAGGGCGAGGACAACGGCGAAGTGATACAACTTGCCAAGAGAAGAATAGAAGAAACCAGAGGACAGACCTGTGATTTTGACGATCTCGACATGCTGGACGAATTGGAGGAAGCTGCTGCATCCATCCGCAAAGAGAGGCGAGAGCACAGAAGACGACTTCGGGCTGCGCGCGAGTCCTGGATACGAGATGCGCAGCGTGAGGCCAATCAAGTTCCTGCGGAAAAGTCTGATGTCCCACAGGTGAGTCAGGTGAGTCCCGCGCTGTGGAAGCAGCTTGCTACAGATGCCGTCAAGTCTGGTGACTTCTACCTTGCCCAGTGGTACTACTCGAAGGAGGCAGAATGCTATGGCCTGCCGGCACTGCAGGCTGCAGAGTTGACGGACACGGACACAGAACATGCCGATGATGAGGCGACACGATGTGAAAGCCACGGGAACCTGCACGAGCGAGCCGTGGTTTTGTCCAACCGATCCCTTTGCCTGGTCCGTATGAGGCAGCCGGATGCCGCGCTGCGGGACGCCCGCCATGCGGTGTCCTTGCGGCCCGACTGGGGCCGCGCGTGGAGCCGCGTTGGGGCCGCAGCCGCAGCGACATCGGCATCGGCCGAGGCTTGCGAGGCCTGGCGCAAGGCTGTCCAACTCGATTGCTGTGAGGAGAACCTGAAAGGCTTGGAGGATGCCTGCCGGCGTAATCCGCAGAGCGCACGGAACTGCAAGGAACAGGGCAACCTGGCGTTGCGAGGCAAGGACTGGGGGTTGGCAATTTGCTGCTATACTGAGGCTTTAGCTGCCATCCCACCACAGAGATTGGTCGAGCAGTCCGAAACGGTGATACAGGACGATTACAGCTTGCTCAGATCCATACTCTTTTCCAATCGATCCGCTGCCTTCGCGCATGTCGGCCGTTGGCAGGCAGCAGTCCGCGATGCGAAGTGTGCAGTGGCAGAAGGCCAGTCTTACCCGAAGGCTTACTGTCGTCTCGGCGTCGCTTTGCTTGGCTGCTGCGAGAACGAGCGTGCGTACGTGGCCTTTGCCATGGCGCTGAGAGCCGAAGATCGCAACATGGCTGCGAGCAAAGGGCGCCAGGCCTGCTTGCAGTTGGTGCCGCGGTGGTCGTCTTCAGCTGCGGCTTGGCGTCGAAGAAGGTTTCTGCGTGATGCAGGAAGACCTCGAAGCAGAACCCGCGTCTATCTCCTCTCGGAGTTGCGCTTTGGGCAGGGCGCCAATGAGGCGTGGGTGCACGGCATCCATGCAACCAAGTTCTTGGATGATGTCCTGATCCTGACCGGAAATGTTGCGGACTCTTTCCGTGCGCTCGAACGAGGTCTGACGCGAGCTTAGCATGCTTGGCAGAATGCAGCCCTGTTGAATTTCTCGCGTACCCGAGTGCCTCAGAGTGTCTCAGTGCGCCCCGAGGACAGCGTTGCGCTCAAAGTTCCGTCGGATCTTCTTCGTGCCCGGCAATAACGAAATGTGGATCACGCCAATTGAGATGGAGAGGTGCCCCTGCTGTAAGTCACGAAAACCAGTGGAGCTAGGCGGCTCGAGTTTATTCTTGCTTTAGTGATTAGGGTCGGACAAGGCCCGGAAAGCTACTGACTACTGACTCCATCATGAAGCGAGGGGCGGGAGAGGGTGGACGATTAATATTGCTCCTTTGAAGATGTGCCCTGTTGAGGGGTCAATAGTGAATAAATCAAGATAGGCACCGCGTGCAAGTGTCAGCCCCAACATGGATTCCAACCGGGGGCGGGGGTCAACAGGCAAGGTGTGCTTGTGTCAGTCTGTCGGCGTATGGGTTTACGGGAGTTTGGGGGTTTAGGGATATGGGGAGTTTGGGGATTTAGGCGTTTAGGGATTTCGGGGTCTAGGGGATTTCGGGGCTTTTTGGGGCTGAGGGTTTCGGAGTTCAGGGGTTCAGGGTTTAGCCCTCCAACCAGCCGTTATGTCGCAGCAAAGCCGCGAAGCCATCATTACCCAGGGGTGAGACAGGGAGAAAACGCCCATAAAATTCATTGCATCTCGGATGCACCACATGTTAAATGGGTTTCGTGGTGTTCAGGGCGTAGGGGCTTTTGAGGCTAGCGTTTGGGGTTCAGGCCTCGGCTTGCCCTTCAAGCAATTATCTTGTATGTTGTATCATGTTCCATCACTGTAGCCGAGCCTTCGTGGAAACAATAACTACGGCGCACATGCAGATCTACAGATCCGAGGTTCCCTGATTCTGTCTGCAAGTTTTGGGCCATCCTTGAGGCCGGTGTGGTACAGAGATCACTCGATTTCTTGATGCCATGCATGTACATGCATACGTACTTCCACCATCTTTGTGGCCAGCTGTGCGATCGGCTTGGCGTTGACGTTGCGCCCGCTGCTGTTTGCGAAGGCAGGCCGCAGGAATCATGCGTTCATGGGGGAAGTAGACACTGAGTCCATCATGCTGTGAAGAGGTGTGTACGTAGTTCCTCTGTTCTCCTGGTACAACGCCGAGTTCGACCTTGCTGACCCGTTGCTTGCCTGAGACACTTGCCGAATGTGACAGCACGATCCTGCTGGGGTATGTCGATTAAGATAGGCATTGTCTGAGCACATGGACGGTTCGTTTGGACACACCCTCTTTGTTTGCTGCCTACTGTAGTACCGTGCCGAAGCTTGAAAGGTTTCCAGACCCGCAGCTCCAGCATGACAAGTGCTCTGCAAAAGTTGATTGTGCCTGGACACCTGACCTGCCGGAGAAGTTCCTTACAGGGCCACATTGGATGCCGTGCAGGTACGCAAAGTGGCCGATGGATCCCAACCATCAGGCTGAATGTTCGTTCACTTCGCTTTCCGAGATGGAAACGTTTACTTCTAGTACCGAGTAGCACGCTTTCCATGTGTGTTGATGGAGGTCTGGCGGTACATGCTGGCATTGAACAGGGACTATCTGCAGAAGCCGTGCCTTTGCTTTTTATTGAAACGTCTGAGCAAGTCGATTCGAGCAGCAACAGCCGCAGAGCAGCCACCAGGGTTCTGCTTGCCAGGTACCACGACACAGTCATCACGTGCTCGCACTTCGTTCCGAGGAGTGAGCTACCGGTGCGAGGCTGAGACATGAGGTGGTGTGGGCACGTCAACATTGCGGGATGCGCGTTGGCTTTCGGCAGCTTCGCCTCATAGCATTGAGGTGGTGCATGAGTTCAGCATGGCGAAGGCTGGGCGAAGGTCCTTTTTGTTGCGTCTTCGCCGGTGATCCATCATGACCCTCAGGCATCAGGTTGTGCTGAGCTTGACGATCAGCTACGACAAGCAAGGCCAGGGCATTGTGTCATCATTGACGTGTTGCACAAACATGTAGAAGTCGTGTACTGTGGTTGAGTTGCACCATGTTGCACCTCTGCTTTGTCAAGGAGCAGCTGCCATGTCTACGGCCACAGCTCCAAGCAGTGTGGCAAGGCCTTTCGCCTGACGCCCTCTTTTAGGACAGCAGCCGGTTGCGGCTGCGAGTTTCCAGGAGATCGACGGCGTGATCTACCTCAATGCCCCGCACAAGGGCGGTGGGTGGTTCGGCGGCATTCGCAGATTGTGCACTGGAGCACGTTTTGGCACGCAGCGGGGAGGGGGATGCTCGGCATGCCTTCTTGTTTCAGGTAGGTTGTGTCGGGGGCAGACATCCTTTGTCGATGCAGGGTCATTCTTGGCTGAGGTTGGAAGAGCCGATACCGCTTGATGCTCAGTCGTTGACCCTTACACCTTTTTTGGCCTAGTCGGGAGGTGGTGGGGTCTTCTCATTGCAAACCCTCATTATCCGGGCCCAATTGCTGCTCGTCTACGAGATCCTTTGTATGGCATTCGGTTGGCCCAGGTAGTTGGGCCACCAGAGGCTTAGTGGAAACCGCTGATTTTCTTCAAATAGAAAGGGCGATATGCCTCACTACTCCGTGAAGCCAAACGCGGGTAATCGCTAGTGAGAGAAAGTGCAAGTTCGTCACAGAAGACCATGTTGCATAGCTTCTTCCACTTCGGAAACGCGAGATCGCTCAGGTGCGTGTTCAATGGCGAAAAGGTCTGCTGTGAGATGGTTTCTGTACACTAACGCTCAACCAGCACCTTTCATGTTTCTTTACATCTTTTCTTGGTTGTCTTATACCTCAGCTTTAGCTGTGGCCGACTGGTCTGCAGCTGTTGGGATGCACAGCGTTGTGGCGCAGTGGGAGCAGACTGCGAAGCAGCTGCAGTTCCCAGCTGGCCTTTTTGTACACTGGCATCTCAACCGTTGGCTCTGGAACCCCCGAACTCTCGACGCAGACCCTAAAGCCCAGGGCCCAGATAGACCCTCTTCATACATGTCGTGCAGAGCAGCCGGCCAGTTACGACTGTATGTTCGATCTACTCTGTAAACGAGTGGATGCACTCAGATGAAGTGTGAAAGTAACAAGGCCGTGGTGTCAGGCAGCCTCATTCGGTGGTTGCATTCAGTGTTTCCGTGTGCAACATCTGCCTCGACACCACTCGCGAGTTCAAGCGGGCCGAACTGAGAAGTTTGCAATCTCAGAAGACGTGCGAACGAAGCACGAGAACGTTGTTGAGATAGCCTCATCCATCGCCCAAAGAACTGGCGTGTGTCCAGGACACCGTATTGAGCAGGTGCGTTGTCACTGAAATCGGAGCTGAGTTTCCATATCCAGACCTGGACACCCCTTTTTCCATGAGTGAGCTCAATGCAATTCAGTGATGCATGATGGATAAGCGCAGGCTTCCACTTGGCATATAAGCAGCTCAGACGTTCAGAAGCCTGCGGCACGGACAGAGGATGTTCCGATAATCTTCACAGCGCTGAGCGCTGTCTGCGCAGTGAACGCTGCGCTGCAGTCTTTTGCTTTGCGACGGCATGTGACGACAGGGCCTCTGCTCCTGCAAGCCCGCGTCGCTTCCAGGACCACAAAGACACAAAGCGAGGGATTTGCGAGTGCAACTGTTCATCTTTGCCTGTATTGCGCCCCTTTGGAAATGGGGTCCCCACGACTCTTGTTGGTCTAGTGAGTTCAGGCTCCTTTGACATGGCCGATCCTGCCATCAGATACATCTTAGTAGAGGCGTAGTATGCATCTGATCTGAAGCTGTTGCTCTGAACGTTCAGAAGGTGCATAAAAAATGCTGGGTTTTGAGGGGGTACTTGGAATGTCAGCAATGCCAGCTCGCCGCGATGGCGATTGAGCTAGAGACCTTTATCGGTTCCTGGAAGGCTGCTATTGAACGCGAGTTGCCAACGCTGACTTTTCCTGTGCATCTGAAAGGATTCTTTGGGCAATGAAGTCGCTGTGAAGCGCGCCAAAAGTAGAAGTCGAGGAGGACCGCCTGAGCCTTACTTGCCCGGTTCGGTGACCGACTCAAGGCTTGATTCAAGATGGCATAGCATAGGGTGGCAGAGCAACTGAGAGGGGTTTCGCCCAGGTTGAATGTCCTCCTCTCCAACCCACGCAGTAGCCATGCGCTCAGCAGGGCAGATGAATTTGCTTAGAAGCTGTGTTCGCAGTTGGAAGATGCGCGGTGCGTGAAGGCAGGCCACCTATCAAGTTGGATGTGAAATCTGTTGGACAAGGGCAGTTTGCATGCGGTCGGCAGCCTACTGTAGACGAGTCCTGTGATCTGCGTGGCATCTGCGGAGTCTTTTTGAAGGCCACTACGACCTGGACTTGGAGCACAGCTCTGAGGACCGTCAGACGCCTAGCACACAGCACACCATGTGGCCCATGTCTGTGCATGAATATGTGGCCATCCCTGAAGCCCCAAACCTCCCCGAACCCTGGGTTCCCACACTCCTGACACTCCTGATACAGGCAGAACTGCAAGCCTTCAGGTAGATCCCACGACTGAACCCAAAAACCAAAAGACGCGGCATGAAGCTTCAAGCCTAGCGCCAAGAGCGGCAGCTGCAGCAGCAGGCCAGACAGCCCAACATTCACACGAAGTTTTTCCAGGAACAACACGAGATCTGCGATGTTTGAAGAGCTTTCCGTCGTTGTGGCACAGCGTGGTCTGAAGCGGAAGTTTGGAGGAGGGCTTCGAAGTAATTGATTGACCAGGCCAAAGGCCTTAAAAGGCTTCTGCGAAGGATTGAAGGTTCTGAGCAGATCCAGGGCTTCAATGGGGCCAAATGCACGTGCAGGGGACATGGAACATGTGTTCCATGACCATCTCACATCACTGTTGTATCTTCGGTCGGAGGTGGCCACCCCATCTACAGCTGCTTAAAATGCTTAAATGTGATGTTGGCAGTAGCATAGCGCCAGCCTCGCGCTGGCACTTAGATCCTTCGGACGAAAGCTGAGAGTTTAGAGTGAGGTTTTCGCAGGGCAGGATGAGAGCGAGAGCCGAGAGCCAGATCCGAGGTCAAGAGCCCGAATTGGGAGCGTGCATTGAGAGCAGAATATTCCTGGACTTGGGTTTTCGAAGCAGGCTCTCTTCCGCAGGTCCAAACTGTGCATGTTTGGCAAGTCCACATGAACATATTTGTGCGAGTATGCTAGTTTTCCAGGCCTTTTTTTCTGGGGATGCACTTTTGAGTTTTCCGTTTGAGAGTCTCCGGGATCAAGAACGCGAAGTTGTTTGAGATCAAGGATCTAAACTATTTCGAGGAAGAAAGCAGGAAGGAATGGAAGCAGGCAGGAAGTATGGAAGAAGGGGAAAGAAGCAAGAGAAAGGAAAGGAAAGGAAAGAAAAGGAGAAAAGGAACGGAAGGCCCGCCCTAACTCCCCCACCACGAACCCTCAACCCTCAACCGTCAAAAAAGCAGCGCAGCTAGCCCCAGGTTTCTTGCAAGCCCGTCCTACAAGAAAAGTGTTTACAAATGGGGTGCGCTGCACCCCCCCCGGACCTTTCTACCTTTGAAAGCCGGGCAAGCTCGGGGTTAAGAATTTCGTGCTCGAGAGGCATCGCTGCAAGTACCGACCGAGCATTGTGTTTGCAAGTGCGGGAGGGGTTCCTTTGCCCCGTGGGAGGTGCCCCAGCTAAAGCTCGATTGTGCCTGTATGCCTTGAGTGGTGCTGGTCCATACGCCCCGAGATCCTTATTTGTTTGATCCGTTTTGGCTGAAATAGGACAAGTTGGTTTGATCTTAGAACAAGCTTTTGGATCCCTTGTGCTTGTATGGGAGGTTATCTCTTGCTTTGGACGAGGGCCGTCCCGCATTTTGACAACTGGCCATAGGTGTCGGCTTTCGAGAGCTTTCCACCTCTTTTGATGTTTGCGGACATGAGTATCTGTGGGCGTCGCCCTGCCATTTTAGGGCATGAAGTCTTCAGAATCTGGCCTGAGAAGCCTTTGTAGATTCACACACAATCATTCCATCTCATGGTGTCACCGCTCGATGCATGACAGCCAGTTTGAGTATGTACCTTGGTCCGCGCCCAGGTATTGTTTGGGTCGACCGAAAGAATGCACGCAAGACGTCCACATGGGAGCGGGTGGAACGTGCCTTGCTTGCAACGCATCACCGCCAGAGCTTTGCAAGTTGAAACGCTGATTATAAGCATGGACTTTGTAGGTGACCTGCGCCATGACAGCCGCAGCCCAAGCCGCAGCCGGAGTCGCAGCCGGAGCCGGCATGCGGGCGGCTCGGGTGTGTCTCGGGGCGGCATGGGCGGCGCAGTGGCATGTCGTGACTGGTGCCATGCAGTGATTGCCTCACGAGTTTGATTGTTCTGGAGTCGCGGCGTTTTTGACCTACGTCTGCTGTTGCACTGTCACTGCCGTAGCGCCGAGGCTCGATCAGGCGTTGGCGGTGCTGGCGGCGGATGCGCACGGCTCCGGGCTCGGCATGGCTCTGCTCAAAAAACCCTGCGCTGTGCATCTGCAGACAATAAGGACTCCACCTCCCGGGTATGGCTTACCCGGCCCTGGCTTGCCTCCTCCTGCACAGGACTCAGCCTGTGCAGACCCTCTCCGCGCCAACGCAAACTTGCAAGAGCCGCAGCTGTAGTCACTGTAGTCACACAACCTCAGCCCCTCTGCTGGACACGTTGTCCGCTTCAAAATTGCGAGATCAAGAGACAAACATGTCTATCATGGGTCGGAACAATCATCTCTGAAGTGAAGATGACTGAAGCCACTGAAGCGACGAAGCTCAGGCCATGTACTGGGCTCCGCCGCCGCCCTTGGCACCTGGATGGGCTCCAGAGCCGTCGCGGTTCGTCAGCACCTGAGCGATGAATGAGGAGCATCCGAAGGAATACCAGGAATGCCGTGTTTTTTTTTTGTTTTTGGTGTTGATTGAAGCCTCGCTTTGAGCATCGGAGGCCGCCGCCGCCCCAACCCCGGGTGCCTGGGTGCCCCCAACTGGGTGCCGCCCTCCCGGCTGAGGCTTTTTAAGTGAGAGATTGGGGGCTTTCTAGGACCTTAGGACCTTAGGATGTAAGTTGATCGACGACGAGCCCTCCGCGCTGGGAAAGGAGATGAAAGGAGCTCCCCGAGCCCAGCCAGACTCTGCACTCGGGCAGGGCGTGTGCATCTCCATGCGATAGAAAATGGACCGTGCTCGCTGTGGCTGCTGCGGACAACGGGACATATTCCTGCCATTTCCCACTCGTCCCTTTGGAACGCCATCTCGCCGTTGTTCTTTATGGGCTTCCTCAAGCGTGCTTTCACAAGCAAACCAGCCCAAGCCTAGCAGCAGCCTCTTGACGAGTTCAGCACTTGTTGTCTCTCTGACTTCTCAGTCTGAACACCGCCTGAGTATGCAAACTGTGGATGCATCTGTCAGCAGCAGTGCTGGTACAGCAGCAAACTAGCCATAGCTGCTTTATGCACCTTAGCAGCAAAGTTGCGTCCAGTGTATGGCAGCGAGCCAGCATTGGCCAACATGACCATCGAGCTTGAGACATTTCTGGGGGACTGGAAGGCACGTAGAGGCGAAAAACAAGCTCAAGCAGCAATCGTACTTGCAATCACAGGACTCCTTGGGAAATGATGTGACGGTGGAGTGGTCAAAGCCTGGCAGCCGTGGTGGGCAGTATTGCCCCCAGAATCGAAATGCACGTGCCTTTTGAGCACCCGAAGCAGAAGTTGTTGTTGAGCTGCGTGTCCATGACGCCAGGTTGAACGTGTTTCTCTCCAAGCCACGAAGTAGCCGGAAGCCAAGCAAAGAAGTCTTCAAGGCTTCGCGGAAGGAGCGCATGCCCAGGGCCAGATGTGGCCATTTCCTCTGCTGTCTAGAACTTCTTCCGTAGTCCCTTCTTCCTTGTTTCCATCGGAGAACTTAACCCCTCTGCTCCTTCGCCACATTTTAGTGCTGCTATATCTTGCCAGGCACTGACCTTCCCTTCCAAAAATGCAGTATCTGGCATTGATGGAAGTGATGGCATGTGAATGCACGAGCGAAAGTGCTCCGGGACTTCAGGCAGACACACCCCCGTTCCAAAAGCAAGCGCTTTTGTGATGCAGCTGGAGCAAGGCTACCCATGTTTACCCGCACATCCGGAATGCATAAACTTTGGCATAAACACATGTTCATGCTTAATCGTGGCATGATGATGGCGCCGTTTGTAATTTTTGGTTGCAATGTGGCACCAGATGTTCTCATGACTCAAGGCGGTGAAGTGTGACATGCGCGACTTGTATACTATGCTAGGAAAATTCCCTGCCTTGTAGTGGCCACGGACCTTTGCGTCCACGGATGGTGGTCCTCTGGTGCTTCAACAGTAGAGGAAAGGGCACTATGGGCACTTCACCTCCTCTTGCATGATTTGGATGGAAGAAGCTGGACATTGACGTGGGCTTTGGCATGGCTTTGGCTCGGAGACCTTCAAGAGATTTCAACAATCTTCAACATTCCTCTTGCACTACCATGCAAGACCAGCTGTCAGCTGCCTAAGCGGTGCTGACTCGGCTCTCCAGTCGCCCTTCGCTCTCTGAGTTCTACGTCTTGCTTACATTGTGTTTAGAGGCTCTGCAGATCTCTGCAGTGAATTCACGGGACAACAGGGCACCTTCCGGAAGTCCCAGAGGACATACAGTGGAAAAATGGAGAGTAGCCTGCCTAAGAGCGCACGATATAAGTAGCTTGCTACAGCCGACCACCATGGGGGCGAAAATGCGGTGTTGAGCACTTCGAAGAGCACCCCTAGATGCCTAAATCCAAAAAACCCGAAAACGATGGAGCCTCTTGGAGCCTGCAATTCGCACAGCGAAGGCAGCAATGCATGCAATATCATGCAATGCACGGTTCAGAACGTAGAGACGCTCCGTCAGCTGCCACCTGCGGTGTGTCCTCTGCCTTCCGCAATTCCCTTAAGTAGCCACCTGAAGGGCCTGAAGGGTTGCCGACAGTTGCCGAGGGTTGCCGAGGGTTGCCGCAGGTGTTCTCACTCTGGGTTGGAGGTGGAGAGTAGTGTAGTCAGATGTCACCAGGGTCGGGAATCCATTTCAACATATCTGTGTTCGTGCTAGTTCCGGCGCCACGATTCAATGTTATGCATGACTGCGCAGCTGCCGATACCTTTTTTGCCGAGCCACGGATCAGTGTTGAACATGGCATGGATGTAGCCTGTCATGGGGAGCTTGCCCGCTCCAGCCAGGCCTTGAACCGCAAATGAGCTCAAGTTGCCAACCGATCAGGGGAGTATTAGATGAGCTTAGTGATGCTTAGTGATGCTTAGTCTGGCTTAGTGATTCTCGATGAGTTTAGTCTAGTTTAGTGTAGGGCTTGGTGGAGCAGATCGTGTGTTTCCCGAGGCCGGGATCCAATCCGCTTGGACGTGAAGTCTGTGGGGCGTGGCCGTTTCGTTTGCGGTCGCGGGCTTATGCTCCAAACGGACAAGACGTCACTTGTCAAGAGCAAAATAAGGAATTCAAACAAAGTAATGTAAATACAAATATAAATATAAATATAAATATAAATATAAATATAAATATAAATATAAATATAAATATAAATAAATATAAATATAAATATAAATATAAATATAAATATAAATATAAATAAATATATATATATATATATATATTATGTATTCACATGTTAAAACTGTCTGAGCTCAGAGAGAATGCTCTGCTCTCTGCTGAGGCCACTATGACTTGGACTTGGATGAATCATCTGAGGATCGCCGGCCTCTCAGGAGAATCTGTACGTGCCTCCCACAGTCAGTGCAGAGAGTAGATTGCGTGCGCGCTCTTGGTGAGCCGATTCGAGGTATCGTTTGGGCAGACTGCCGAAATCGTGGCAAGACGTCAGTGTGGAAGCGTCTCTCGACAGCACACAGAAACCACGGCATGCTGGGCAGTGACTTAGTGAGCTGAGCTGAGCCGAGCAGCAGGCCGTGGCCGCCATGCTAGCCGGAGTCGAAGTCGCGGTCGAAATGCTTGGACCCTGGCGCACGCCAGTGTTTTTTTTTGTGCCTGCATACAAACGACAGGCCACAGAAATGCGACGCAAGTGCACCCGCACGCCCTGGCAGATGCGTCATGCGCTGCACAAAACCCCTAAACCTCAAGCCATCTCAAGCCCCAAACCTCCTAAGTTTTCGAAATGTCTTCCTAAATGTCTGGACCATGGACAGCCAAGGGCATCCCTCGGGTGAAAGTTGTGCCTGCTCTGGAAGCGCCAGCTTCCGGGTTGCCTCCTTAGAGTGCGCTTTCCTCCCTTTCACCGCATTCACTGCTTTCACCGCTCTTTCACCGCGCTCACCATTGCTTGGTAAGGACATGGTCATCAGGGTATGGCCTGCCATCTCCAGCCGGCCTCCTACTCTTCGGGTCTTTGGGTGCAGTCGGTCTGCAATCATAAGCCTTAGGCAGCCTACTGGGCGCAAGCATCCCCCACTTGGCCGGAGCCTCGCTCGGCCCCGCGCCCAACGTGGGAGTGGGGGTACTGCTGCGGCTGCCACGGTTTCTGAAGCAGGGGTATTGTGTTTTGTTTTCCATGCTTGGCTGTTTTCTAGAGCCAGTGCTGTAAATTACAGCATTTCGAGGCTCCAAACATTGTAAAATTCGGCACTCACAGCATGTCGGCCTACTCGCAGGCTTCAAACAGTCTGAGTGTTAGAAAGACAGAGCGGAAGAAAGAGAGAACGTTGAACGAACAGAACGAAGACAGAACTGACAGAACAACATTTGTCGAAAGAAATAACGACAGAAAGAATGTCGCCTCCACCCCAAGCTCAAGCTAAGCAACCAAGCCGTGGGTTTAAACGTGTTTCTCTGTTCACAAGCAAGAGACGACGATGCAGAATGAGAAAGAATGGAATATCAACACATAAAGCCTAACAGGACATAATAGCAACGTTGCCTTTCAATCCAGAAAGGCTCGACAAGGCACAAAGGTGCAAAGCCCTAGTGCCGCAAAACCACCCCCCCCCCCTCCGACCCCCGCCCCATTTTCCTGTTGTCACCTTCTGAAGCCCGAAGCCCTTCAACATCCAACCTGCAGAAAGCTCTGGGAGGCCGCAGCCACAGGCACAACCCCCGGAGCTTGGGTACCGCCAAGCCAAGAACTTACAGGAGCTGTTTCGAGGGTTCTTAGGAATTCAAGGGGCATGTATGGCATGTGAGCTTGAGACGGGGGGCCCTTCTTTACATAAGATGCCAAGCAGCAGCACGCCGTAGGGCTTGCCAGTTCATGTGTAAAAGGAAGCTGAGGGCATTTGGACATTTTGGGGTTTTGGGTGTTCTGCTTTTTCTTGAGGTATGGAAGATGTCGAAAGTGCCAGCCAAACCGTGGCGCCACTGCCACTGGCACTGGACGCTGGCCGAGGGCTGAGCGGATGCGAGATTTCAGAACGAACTGGCCCGGGCTCCTTCCCCATCAGGTCCTCCACTGGAGGATGAAGGCGAACCCTCAGGCCCATTTTGTCATGGACGAGGGTTGGAGCAGTTTCTGCTTGCTGTTCACGTGGGCAGGCATCGTGAAGCCTGCCGCTGAGTGCATGTTTTCAACTTCCGATGTTTGGGTGATTTCTGATTCGGTCTTATGAGTCTTATGAGTGTCAGGCCTGTGGCACGAGCTGTGCCAGTAAAAGTTCTTCCGCCGCCTCCTTTGGTGGACCGTGCTTCAGAAGATGCGGCTGACTTCGCTTAAGTAGTGACTCCGAAGACCAGGACGAAATGGAGGAGTTCGACAAGTTGCTGCTACAAGGGGAGGCTCCGCAGGCTTGCAGTGCGATCGAGTCCAACAGTAGGTTTTGGCACCTGGCTGCTGCTGTGACAGGAAAGCAAGCAGAAGCCAGGCTGGGGAAGCGCACCTGGCAAAATCACATGGTTTCTCTCTGTGGCTCTTGCTATTGGACAAGCTTTCGCTTCCTGCAAGGCATGGCTGCATTTGCTGCGCCGCCTGCGCCGCCTGCGCCGTCTGCTCCGCTCGCGCCGGCCGAGCCCACCGCGCCGGCCGCACCTGCTTCTCCGCCTGCGCCGGCCGCGTCGCCAGCACCGCCTGCGGCGGATGTTGCTCGCGATCGCGTCGAGACGGCGCGTCCAACTCTCAGTGTGAGGCAAGGCAAGGTGCAATGCTTGCGACGCTTGTCTGCTTGGCTTGTGCTTGCCTGCAGCCATCTTCTCAAGATGCGCTTTCGTAGTTTGCACATTGCCAGACATGCATATTAGATGTTGGAGGCAGGACGTTTCGGAGATTGCCAGATCAAGGCTTCTTTCTGCTCAAGTTAGGCAAGCTCAATTTTCATGCTGCGAGGCCGGCGTTTCTTGTGCTGCTCGGGTGTAGCCAAAGTACAGGCACGGAGGGCGGGTCGGGGGGGGGGTCGTGGTGGCATCCGCCGAGTTAATCAATATCACGCTGCAGAAGCGTGGCTCTAAGCGCAGGCCAAGTCATTGGCAAGTATCCGGATGCCGCCAGGCTCAACATTTCATGTCTCTTATCTTGGTTTCCTGTGCCAGCCAATGTAGGCACTGAAAGCTGGAATAGCAACGAAAAGGCAGCATACCATCAGCATACGGTGGCCAAGGTGCAATATGAGGCTTTGCGAGACGACCACTGTCTGGATCCAAACGGCACATCTGCTACCCTGTATTGTAGCACAACTGTGGGGCACGCCAGGCGGGAAATAGCACGTCCCATGGTGGGTCTAGCTCTTGGCTTTCCTGTCACATGGTTGAAGCAGGAAAGCTTGTGAAGAAGCTGGAGGCATCTCATATTGCACTGGCGTTCGCACTTTCCGCTAGCTAGCAAACATGGTCGTTGATTTTTGTTAGACTGTTAGTGACCACCAAGGCAAGTTTGACGACAAGATCACTGAGAGCAAACATGCATGCATCCAACAGTGCACGACGGAGGGCGACTCCTGTGTGGGAGCGTCTTGACTTGGTGACGGACGTCCCTTTGCTGGTAGCTCTGTAGCCCTTTTTCCAAAGTTGCGCTTCAGGTGAGATGGCAAGCAGTGTTCAAGCACTGCACTATTCTCTATGGCACCTGCCAAGACTCCGATGACGGAGTCAACTTTCAGAGTGAGTACTGGAGGAAGCTGGTTCCCTCGGACTTTGTGTCCTTCTCAGTCATGAAACATCACGAAATGTCATCATCCCTACAGCCGGACACCCTTAACATGAGACCCACAGCAAGTCGGACCAAGGACATTCCGAATGTTGGCGCTTCGACCTGTAATGGGACGATGCTAACGTGTAGCGAGGATGGCACAGACCCTTGGCCAAAATTGAGACGTGAGCACGGCACAGTGCTTGAAGTCGGTCCTGCGCATTGCGCAAGTAAGGACCCGTGCGAGGCTTTCGATGGTTGCCTCAAAATGTATCATGGCTGCGGAGGGAAGCTGGTCCAATGTAGCCTGGATGCCCCTTAGCAAGCATCAGGCTCTTGCTTGCAATGCACGCGCACACGCACACGCACGCGGACATGCACGCTGGCCGCTCACACACGCTCACACACGCACACGCTCGCGCGCACGTGCGCAAGTGCGCACACACGCAAACGCGTAAATACGCGCACAGGCGCGCACCCGCACACGCGCACACGCCTGCACGCACACACAAGCTTACATCCCGCATGCGCGCACAAGCGCGCACACGCACACCAGCGCCTGCGCTCACACGCCCATAGGCGCACGCGTGCACGTACGCACGCACACGAGCGCGCACACGCTCACGCACACACGCCCGCACTCTGGCAGCCTCTCCGTGATCTTTGTGCATTCAGATGGCAGGTTTCCGGCGTCTGCAAGGGCAGCGTGCAGTGCCACCAGCCCTGTGCTGCCGCCGCACAAGATTGCATGAGCGTGCATGAGCAGTGCAGAATTGTAGTATATGATAGTGCATGACCAGTCACAGCCAGTTTTGTGGAAGCCTCATGCTGTCCACATGCCGCAGGTGCTGGTCATCTGCGGAGAGGCAAAGTAGACTGCAGAGAGCTTGATAGAGCCTCATGCCTGCACAGCGCCCTGCCTGCATCTCTTGGGCAAGTTTTGGCGGTCACAGCTGTAGGACATGCACTCAGTACACACTGCATCTCGCACCTGAGCTTGGTAAGGCTTTGTCCGCAGAGGCGACAGGCTGGGCGAGGAGTGTATGCTGGTTGACGAGAGGAGCTGCATGGCGAGGAGAACATGTGGGACACTGGGCTGCTGCAGTACTAAGCTGTAACAGCTGCAAGACCCCCTTGCTGCGCCTTCACTGCTTGCATGCAAGAATTATGATTTTCTTGCTGCAGTGGCATGTGCCATGAATGAATTGCAGTCTAAGGGTGATCTATGAATGACGTGCACTGAGTTTTGAGGAGAGGAACCTGCTTGTACATAAGTGACACTTGCTGGAGCATGTGTATCCCCACACAGCTCCATGTTGCCACTCGCAGTCTCCAGATGCGTGATGCGCAAGGGCGCCGAATGAAGTCACATGTCATTGCCTCACACAGCTGCTTACGCCCAAAAAGCAACAGGGGCACTGTAGTTGTCGCATGGAATGCCAGCTGACACAAGCACTCGTTTGTCTTTTGAATCAGGAATGGCTTGAGGAAAAATGCTTCGAATTGTACTGCTGCCCAGGTGCTGCCACCTCCAGCAAGCCTCTGTTGCAGAAAGTGAAGCAGGAGCATATTGAGAAGGTGGAGGTTGTGTGCGAGCAGGTTCTGGTGGACCCTTACCTGGAGACTCCAGTATCAGACTCCGCCTTATCTGTGGAAGTCCTGAGCCAGCCACTTCCTGCCAAGGCTGCGAAGCAGCCAATTGCAAAGCGTCGAACTCGACCTGCTTCCAAGAAAGCCATAGTTAAGGTGCCACCACCCGTCCCAAGATTCGGCGCAACAACGCCTGCCGGACTTCCAGGTGCTGTCCCAGAGCTACCGGGGCCGATGCTATCCCAGAAGGAGAGAGACAGAAAGCTGCAAGAAATCAAGCAGCTCCTTGAGCAGCAAACATCAGACCTGGCCCCGATTCCTCCTCCGCCACTGCTCACAACAGCACCGCCGTCAACACCCTTGACCCCACCCACCCCTTTGACGCCCATGACGCCTGCCACGCCCATGACGCCACCGACGCCCACAACGCCCACAACGCCCATGAGGCCCATGACGCCCATGACACCCATGACACCCGTGGCTTCCTCCGTACCCAAGGATGCTGTGCGTTGCATTAGCTGATTTTCCGCTATGTTTCAATATGTTTTAGGATGTTCTAAGCCTCATCTGGCGGTGTGCATTCCCTTATCCGAGATGAACTCAGGATGCTGCTGAGCGACGTTTCGCGGCCTACTCCCAGCTGCTCCTGGGAGACGATGCCGATGACGCAGAGGAGCTTGGAAGTCAGGCTGTGCCTTGTGCCGATGTTGGTCGTAAATCTGACAGGCGCCATGGAAGCGCCAGGGCAAGCGACGCCGCGCGGACCTGTGAGCTCAGCGTCCAAAGAGGGCGCAGCGGGCAGAGACAAGGCGGACCCGGCAAGGGGTTCGCTGAAAGCCTCTCAGCCTGCAGTGGAAAAAGGCTTCTCGTGAAGTGGCTGTACATTTCTCACCTCCGCAGTTGATCGAGCTAGAGCATAAACGTTATGTAAAGCGACATTTCAAAGGCAAAGTACCAAGGCATGCCTGACACTAACATGAGATAGTGCGAGCATGATAAGTACAGAGCATGATAACTACATACATTGTCATGCATACGTTGAACAGTCGTTGACCACCCCCGCCACAACTACAACGACGACTACTAGTACCACGACTGCCCACCATTTCGAAGACTGAAACCGCTACCACAGCCACGACGACCACCACCAGCACACCACGAGCACCACCACCACCACCGCCGCCGCCGCCGCCGCCACCACCACCACCACCACCACCACCACCACCACCACCACCCCGACCACCACTGCCACTACCTCGACCACCAACGCCGCCAACTACTCCGCTGCTGCCGCCACCGCCACCGCCGCCACCGCCACAACCGACCGGCCTCCGTGGCCCGGCCTCCGTGGCCTGGCCTCTGTGGCCCAGCCTCCACTTGTCGCGCATCTTTGGGCAGTGGTTTCTGTGGCATCCTTTAGCTTTCCGTGTCTCTCCTGCAGTTCTCCCACGCGTTGTTGCTGCCCGTGCTGTTCCCTGTCTGGTCCCCAGCGTCGTCCCGAGCATCGTCCCCCATGTTAGCCCGTATTCCCCGTCCTGTCCCCCTTGTTGTCGCCCGTGTTGTCCACATTGTGTTGTCCCGCGTTGTCAGATTTTTCGTGGTTTGTTCCTTGCTCCCACTTCTCATTGTGCTGTCACGGCGTTTGCTTTCTTGTTCTCAGCGACGTCCTTGTCCACTCCGCCCTGAATTGCCAGCCGCTTCTCGTAAGCGCCAAGCGCCCTTTTGTATGTTATGAGAAAGCATGAAGGTGTGTTTCACGACGTTTCAAACCGAGGCCTTTGAGGTTCTTCGCCGGCAGCCCTCAAAGTGTGTTGCTCCAGGCTGACGTGTCCCCGTTGAATCACTGCCGCACCCATTTCGCAAACGACGCTACCGGCAGCAGCGTTCAGGCTCGTTCGAACTACGGCGGCTCTATTTTTCACATGCTGAGTGTGCACATCCATATCGCGTCGTTCCGAGATTACGACATGTTCGCAAAAGGCGCTAAGTGCTGCAGCACGCGTGCAGGGACTTGCCGGCAGACGATGCGGTACAGCAGAGCAGGCGGCAGACGATGTTCTCGCAGCTGTCGGGGCCGCACACGGGTCGGGGAAGGCGAGGCCGGCGGGGGCGGGGCAACCATGGGCACGGATGCCGTGGCAGAACCGAAGCTTAGGATCCATGCCCGCGGTATCTCCGGCACCCTTGCCGTCCCTGCTCTCGCATATGGGTTTGACCTGGCCACTTTATCCGTGGACAGAGAGAAGAGTCCAGGGATGCAGCCAGCCAAATTATGGGCCTCAGAACATCGGTCAAAAGAGGGAGCGATCGCTATTGAAAGTGGTGAACCAGCTCAAGAAAATTGTTGATTGGGTTCGGGGAGTACCGTCCAGCAGATGTCGCTACCGACTATTTAAGAACTCAAGATTGTAAAGCAGACTGGACGAAGGCAAGGTGGCTATGGGCCACACATGGCACGAGTTTTCGTCGCTGAAACCGCCCATGCAGGACCTCAAGGTCTCCCAAGTGGCTGTGTCATGCGCCTGCGCATCCTTCGCGACTCAGATAGGGGCAGCGTGCGGAGCAAGGCACTTGTTGCTAGAACCGGGCACGTGCGAGGGAGTCCAGTAACGCACATGATTCATGAATCGGGCTGTTGCGACAATCGGCAATGGGAACATTACATAAGCTCCACATGTAAAGCCCGTGTTAAAATAGTGGGGAAAAGACCCAAAACTGGGAGATGAAGACAGAGACTCATGCATCTAGTTCCAGCTCCAGCGGTAAGACTCATGACTTCGTTCATTCAATCACTACATTTCGTGCTATTACTTCGTGACCTTAAAATGCATTTCTTGAGTCTATTTCTTTGGTCTTTTAGTGGGTTTCGTTCGATCTCTCATGCAAGTGAGCGGATCTCGCATCTGCTTGCAAGGCACAACCACTTGGCACCGAAACGCACGACAAGTCGAGCATTGTGAAGATCAGCCGGCGCCGCATAACCGACCACACAGCATGCCCGGGGCATTGCGAATAAAGTTGAAGTCACACACTCGTTCAACAGGATAAACATGCGTTTCCATCAGGCGGCACAGACAATCTTGTGTTGACTAGCTCGTTTTGAGCCAGTAAGTTTTCGCACCCTTGCGGCCTCTCCCCTTGTCCCCGTTGTCGACTTGACGGAGGCGCTCAGAACCGCGAGCGCTGTTGCCGGAGCGCTTCCGTGAATCTCGGCTGGACAGTGCGCCACCTTGCCAACCCCGGCGGATACATCCCGGCAGCGACAGGAAACTTGCAGTTTTATGGGGGGCTTGCCTTCGCCTCGGAGCTCAACCGTGCGTCGGACGCCTTTCGCCTAATGCCCGTCCCACCCGCCGCGCTGCAGAGGCCCCTGCCGCCCAGGCTCCAAGCGCACGCGCCCCGGTGCCTGTGAGCTACTCGCCGTCATGCCTGTCTCGCCTGCGCGGTGCTCAATGCGCGCCAGGGAGGTGGGTGCGGACGGCGAAGCCGCGGCCGGGGCCACGGTTTATGCAGACCGGGGCAGCCGTTGTCCCTGCACGCCCGGCAGTTTTACGGGACGCCCAGCACCTTCACGTGGCTCGACGACTCGGACTCGGGCCAAGCCCGTGAGGTTCGTCAAGGGGAGGGCGAACACGGGATCCACTCGTGCAGGCGCTATATTCCCGGGCGCAGCACGAAGCCCTCACCCAGCGCCAGGCTTTGCTCGCAGGCGGAAAAGCCGCGTTTGTTGACCGTGCATGATGCCACCTACATCACGGCAAAACCCGCATTTGGAACGCTTCCGGGGAGGAGTCTGCAGGAATCGCCGCCCTTGGCTCCGACCCTGATGCGCCCGTCTGGTCATTGCCCCCTGAGCGCCAAAGCGACGAGGCGATAGCCAACTTCTGCACTGCATCGCGCAACGGCTGGCGCAAGCGGATGTGCCGGATGCTGCCTTGGTGGCCGGTCATGGTCGGGGGGCCATCCGGGTCGGCAGGGTTGAGGCTTTCCAAAAAGCCGGATGGACGGGGCATTCGGCGCGCGCTGGCGCTGTCGGAGATGACGGCTACACACCTGCGCTGGCCCAGGCCGCGCTACTCGAAGCGTACGGCAGCCACACAGATCACACAGTCGCGATGGAGGCAGTAGCCCTAGCGGATGCGTTCCGTGCCCACGCGGGTGAGCGGCCCGTCCCCAACCGAGACCAGCCCGTCCGGGCCACAGGCCTTGTTCGTAATGCTGGAGTCGCATCAAAAGGATGCGGCGTCCATCACTGCCCTGCTCGGCCGGCCGCGCAAAGAGCATGCGAGGTGTAAGCAAGAACAGCTTCCACGCGCGAGCGCGGATGCGGTCATCAGGCCCCGGATGTGTTGAAGGCTGCTTGTGAGCGCCCGGCGCATGCCAGCTCGCACGAAAACGGGCACCGTCTGCAGCGTCGGCGCGGGATGGCGAAGTTCGTCAAGTAGGTCGACGTCGTCAAGCGCGTCCAAGGTGGGGAGCCTCATGGAGCCTCAGATTTAAGGGCGAGGGGCCTCTGCGCGCGCTTCGCCATTTTAAATCCAGTTTGTGAAGATGATGCTGCCGTACACTGCGATGCGAGGCACAAAAACATGCAACCGGTGTCACTACCTTCGCTTGGGCCTTGTCAGGTTTTGCCCCATACTAACAGTCCTTAATGGGGATTATAGTACCCCCCCCCCCCACTGGGTTTAGGGGGGGTTTAGGGTTTCGGATTATAATCCCTATCAAGCCGCTTCGAAAAATTTTTGCGGAAAGGCCAAAGGGACGTGCTTGTCACATAAAATTCACTTGTTCGCCCAAATGCCCGTGCAGCTGCGTGGAGACGAAATTCAACATCCGAGGTTTGGTAACCACTCATGGACAACGGGCATCCCAACCATTTATGCGTGCTACCATCACGTACGATGTCGATGTAAGTTTCCTCATGAAGCCACACTCGATTTGGTTGGGTCGTCATCAATTTGGTTTTGGAAGCATTCAATACCAAGCCCACTTGCCGCAAACATAAAATTAGTGAACGCAGCATGACCAGAATTTGTTGCAGCGAGAGTGCGAACAGCAAAATGTCGTCAGCGAAACGGAGGTCCGTCAGCGCCTGCGTGTTCGTTTGAAGTTGAATCCCAAAATTCTATCCCGTTTGTTTCCAATCACGCATTGCCCACTCCAACACGGCGCTGCGTCTTCACTTGGCCAACTTGTTCCGAATATAGACGTTGTATTATCCAGATCATGTGTTTGCCTGAAATGCCATGGTCGCGGAGAGCTGGCCACAATGCTTGCCAGTCCACACGTGACGCTATTTCAGATTTTGCCTCTGCGTCTCGAGCACTGCTGCTGTCGCAGAGTGGCGACGCTGCGAACTGCGCTTTCGCAGCCTTCCCAACGAGCTGGGACACGGACGTGCCCGATGCCGAGTACCGCATCCTATTGGTGTTAGCCCGTCGTGCTGGCCCCCTCGAACATGCAGCAGCGCGCATTTGCCGCGAGGCAGGAGCGCGGGTTGCCACGAATGTTTCCCTGCGCGATCTCAACCTGGATCTTCCGGCCGCGGATGGGCGCAGAATCGAAGTCGTCGCCAACAACTTTCCGATCTGGCAAGGTGCTCACATCGGGGTTGACACCACGATCGTAAGCTCCTGGAGGCGTGACGGCGAGCCCCGCCCGGGAACCGGGACTCGCCCTCCGTCACGCCGTCGGCCGCAAACTGCAGCCAACTCTTCATGCAAACTTGCAATGGATGCCTCGACCCTGGATGATATACGATGTCCAAC